TGCTCGGCCTGTTTCTCGTTGCAAAGAAACGTCGTTACTACGTCATTAGCAGTTAACTCGTCAATAATAGCGGCCGCTCGTAGGCGGCTCGATAATGCCGTCGCGTCTGCACTCGCGCTTCGACGGATCGGAACGAAAGGATAGACGGGTCGATTGTAAACATTTCATTATTACGTACGAGCGGAAGTGGGCAGTGCGGACCGATGGGTGTGGCGGGATAATCCGACGATAATCCGGGAATCATTCTCGGGAATGAATCGCTCTATCGATCCGAGGGTGTATAATTGAAAAAGTTATTCCTTTGCGCGCCTCGTGAGCGTACTCGCTGTCCTTCGGAAATGTGCACAGTCGCGCTTGTCTTCTCCCCCCTTCTCTCCTTCTCCTCTCCTCTCCAATCCCCAAGGCAAAGGGTAGCTTGCGCGGCGCAACGACCCCTTTTCCTCCCTTTCCGGGAGGGGGAGTTTGCATCTACGGCCATTTCAAATTTTCCGCAGCCGGAACTCCGGACGGTCTCGCTCGCTCTCCACATACTTTATATCGCGTCCTAAAACGATCCCTCCCGCGATGTCGTGATTGCTGATACGCGAAATGCTGAAAAGAATGAGTGCGACAGCAGATCGAATAACTGAACGTGTTTGTTCTTATATTTAAAAATAAAATTACATAGACGTGATGATCCAGATGAAGTTTTGGCGCCAACTTCTCACTTTTTATCTAGATGATACAAATATATTTCTTTCTCATCTGCATCTCTTAAATTCGAGAAAATCGTTTACAAAGCTGTCTGAGATGACGTTTACAGATCGTTCAGGTCTGCAAATGCTGCAAAGTATCGAAATATTTATTTGTACGTCGTAGACGTTTGCGTTAAAACACTGCATGTGTCGGACTAAGGCCGTGATTGCATTGGAATTCATTGCCTTAAATCAGGATAAAGGATCAGCAGTTGAGAGAGGGATTTACGTATTTCATTTTATCTTTATCCAACTAATGTTTAAATCATCGAAGCACAACACTGCAATCGGCAGACTCGCGATCCGCCATTTAGGTATCTCTCGCTTCTCGCGTTGAGCGACTCTTCGTGTAGCCAGGATTTCAATAATTCGGACTGGAGAGTAGAATCTAGAATTCATGTCGCAGTTAGACGCGCGAGATGATCTGTCGAGCGTTAATTTTCGCCGAAACTCGTTTGTCCGCGGCGTACGAGACAATTACTCTTTCCCCTAATTCGATATCCGGCGTCGACGCCCTCGAAGATACCGCGCGATCTGCCTGCCAGACCTCTTCGGCTTGAGCGACTACGTACCAGCTACGTGGTTGCGATAGGTGGGAAGCCAGATCGGTGAACTGCGACGACGTGAAACGAGAACGAAAACGATGCCTTGCTGACTGGCGTATACGCGAAATAAGGTCATTCACAGTTCACTGCAACTCAATTTCAGCGATAGTTACATGGCGGCCGGGCAATGTCGATCCCGAAGGAATAGTCGCTCTTTTCCGGTCATTTCGCCTATCTCTCCGGTCTGACGTGCGTGCGCATTGGTGTGCGCGATATACGCACACTTTTACACACACACACACACACTTGTGTATACGCGCATCCCCCATCTCAGACGTTGGACGTGGCCTCATTATCTTGAAATTATCTTGAAATATTCTTCAACGATTTTTGCCTTACGATGATGATTTCTACTCTGAAAGTTGATGTTGCAAAATATCGAGAATATTGCAAAATCTAGGTCTGATCGTGAATTTGTATATGATGAGACGACAATTTTTATCTGTCAGAAAAGTGCGTACGTTGAGAGAAAAATTATGTAAGAAATAAAAGAAAATTTTGTTCCATAAGAACTAATAATTCATATTTACTTAAATCCAAAGTTTTTTATTTAAATGGGCTAAACATAGTAGTTTCTTGAAAAGATACAGTTTTGAGTCAAGGGATAAACGCCATTGCAAAATTTTTGTGTATGAACGTATATATGCCGAGAGGAAAAACAAAAATTTTTATCTATCATAAAAACACTGAGAGAAAAAATATGTAAAAATAAAAATATTTGTTCGGCGGGTACTAATAACACATATTTATTTCAATCTAAATTCTTTTATTTAAATAAAATAAACAATATCTTTCATGAAAAGCTACGGTTTGAAACAAGCTTGACGTTATTGCAAAATCTGAATGTATATGTTGAAACGAGATATAAAAATTTTTATCTAAAAAAATATTGTGCATTGAGAGAAAAAATATATAAAAAATAAAAACAAATATTTATCTGGTGAGTACTAATACAGATATTAATACACATATTTACCTAAATTTATATCCTCCTAGTTGAATAAAATATAGACAATACTTTCCATAAAAAACTACAGTTTTAAATCAAGGCTGACGTTATTGCAGAGTATCTGCAATCTGAGTATCAGTGTGTGTGTGTGTGTGTGTGTGTGTGTGTGTGTGTGTATGTGTATCGTGAGACGAGAAATACAAATTTATATCCATCAAGGAAAAGTTTTTGCTCCCGCGGCTCATTTGATTTTCAGAATGCGATTACGGTCGCCTTCGAAGCTTCATTTATCAAAAGCCTTTGACCGCGGTGCCAAACTATCGATATCCTAACGAAAATGCAGTTCGACTCGTTCGCCCGTTTCTCGAGAGAACCGAGAGGAAAAATATCTAAAACACAAACTATTTTCCCGCTGTCGATGCTAATATAACACATACTTATTTAAATTTATCTTCTTTTATTTAAGCAAGGCAAACGATAGCTTTCAGAAAAAGGACATTTTCTCATCTGCAAGAAAAACCTTTTCCCCACCGTAGAAATGTGTGCATTAATATGAATCAATATACAATTAATATTCATCAAACAAATATCCTGAATTTCTTCAATCTTTTTCTCTCAGTGTATCGAAGTAATTCGGAAGAATCACGAATATCATCGATGGCCTCGATTTTCTCATCTTGCCCGACTTTTTTCCGCGTATTTGTGAGAAATAATACGACAATAATACGCGATAACAGCAATTGCTCACTAGAAATAGGACACGAGCTTGCACGATAACGAGTGTTTGTTATTGGGACGGAAAACTTATACAATTCGCGACGCAATAAATCGCGGGGCGAAAACGCGTTCATTAAATACCGGCGCCGAGTGTATCGGCGAATCGCGATTTGTCAAATCACTCGCACGGCAATAACACGCGAATTCAATTATGCGTTATCGCTGTTTTGTTGCTTGATAAGCCAAGAGGTCGTTACGTGGGTTTGCGTTGCGCGCGCGCGCGCGCGCGCGCGCGCATTGCTCCCTGCACCTTTTTAAAAATTCTCGTTAAACCGCGTAATTAATTCGTGGCGCTTGTAGCGCACGAGACAGATAATTAATTAAACCGCAATATACCACCGCGGATAAGGGTTTTATTGCTGAATTTATCACGGCGTTTAAACTCAACGAACTTATCACTCAGAAAGCATTAATATAAACAGCCCAAAACTCGAAGACAATTACCGATATCGTGGCATCGTCGACACGATTGAATCCCGAATTAAATCGGCGGGTGGCCTCAAATGCCTTTGGTATTTATCGGAATTTCACGCCTCATAATCGTTCGCCATTAAACGTAAAACAGGAACTTTTAAATTACGAACATTGTTATCATCGTTCTGCCGAAGCTTCTTTCCATACCGTGGAAGAAAAACGTTTAAAAGATGAGAAATATTTATTCAGTGGATACTGATGACACTATTTGATTACGCTACTTACTTGCATTTAATTATACTAATATGTATATTTTTGCACTAGAGTGGGGACGTTTCTTTTTTTTTTTTTTTTTTTTTTTTTTCAAATGAGAGAAATGTAGACTTTTTTAAAAACGGGGTGTCCCCCACGCGCGAAAACATTTGTTCGTTCTGCTTAGAATCGGCGTATCGACGACTCGTCGTGAGATAAAAGACGCGCCGCGGCAATCAGAAATTCTTAATCCGACGAGACAGCATCGCGCACACGATACAACTGTGATAGCGCCGAAACAATGAGACGGTAAGTTTCTGAACTTTATTACGCGGATACTTTGCTTTAAAAGTTAGTGGAGCAAGGAAGTCGAGTTGTCATGGGAAATCTAGTGTGCTATCGTAATTCGAAAGCGATTGCTCGAATTTATGAACCCATTAGGGTGCTCCCAGACGTTCGACTAAAGCCGTTCCTGATTCCTGACGCTATAAAAGCGGCGCACGGCGAATGCTATTTTGCCCCGGAATACCGCTCATATATTACAAATATCGCATTTATCTGCGCGCGATTGCATGTAAGGCTTCACATATGAATTCGCTTCGGCTCGCATTGGGGTTTTACAGTTTTCTGAGCGCTGCGGTTGCCGCTCGAGCAGAGAGATTAGTCGAATTAACGCGACAATGAACGAACGGACCGAACGAGTTCTGGTTGAAGGAAACAGAATTTCCGGTTCTTGGAGCCGGATTTGCTTCATAATAACAGAAAATTCTGCTCCCCTACGGCTAGAACGCGCATTGTGCCGATCGCACAATCAATATTGATTGCAAAGAAGGCGATGCAAACATATTATACTTGAAATATGTATGTGTGTGTGTGTGTGTGTGGGTGGGTGTGTGTAAACATCTAAATTTAATTATTATCTATTCAGAGTATTTTATTACGATACATATTTGAATATTAACGAGTGATTGGGATGCCGAACTGTCGGCAATAACAACAACGACGACGACGATAACAATAATAATAATAATAATAATAATAATAATAGGAAATATAACGTAATAATAACATGTGGCGGAAATTAATAACAGACGTTTTTGTTATTATATTGCAATTACAAGTATTGAATAGAAAAGAGAACGGGGGGGAAGGTCGAAATACACACACACACACACACATACACGCGCCCGGCGATCGTATCGAAATACACAAAAGATGCGAAAAAGTAAGATGAGTATTTAAAAACGGCCGTTTTGTTTATTTTTTCAGTAGCGGGCTCTATGCGCCCGATCGATAGCACTAACTGCATCCTGGTTCAAGATATCAAGGCTGTCACTCACGAAAACGCACACATCCACGACTCGATATCTACGCAGATACCTACAGAAGGTAAATATCGAGCGGTATTAATTTGCATCTACTCTGCATGATGTAAATACTCGCGCGTACAGCGTCACACGGTAATTGCTTTTGGGAAGCGAGTGGATGAACGTTCCATCGATATAATGCCTTTAGCGCGGACTATATCGCCGAGCCTCTAAATGTCATCCGCTATAAAGATTTCGCACTACCAGTCCCGTGTGCCATTTCGGGAGCATAATTGAGCAATTGATGTACGCGTTACGTGTAGCGCGCCCATGACACGAAGATAAACCGAGAGATTTGTACGCGTGCTGTAACATTACGCGCCAAGAGGCAGCGTCGTCACCGACGAGACTCGAGAGTAAAGGAGAAGACCGTCAGCCTTGCGGGACTTGGTCTGTGCGAGAAATGTTGATCTCCCGGCGACAAATGTCGTATCGAATGTTACAACAATGCGGAATCGCAGCCTTACGAAAATGTCTGATACATTTCAATGGCGAATCATCGAAGTAATTGTGAATTCAGAAATTAATAAAGCGAATTAGCGGGCAATGTGACCTAATTCGTGACAATCGTTCGGAATAAATTAAAATGTTTCAACAAATTCGAAGAAAAAATAATGCAGTATTAAAGTCTCAAATATTAATTTAAGCTTTCTAACAGAATTGCACAGCTGTGAGTATTTAGGTTAATTGTTAAATCATTATTAAGTTATTTTCACGATAAAATTATATATATTCAATCATTAATTGGGATTTTTATCTTATTTTACTACACATTGAATTTATATCGGATGATTAAAAATGGTCGATCAAATAAACATTTTTTTTTCATCTACGTATCTCCAGGACTATCTGGCGGTCGAGTTAATTCAGGGCTGGCGGTCTTTTAACAGAATCTCATCGGCGGCAGCGTGAAATCCTCGTCGGCTTAAATTTCTTCAAGTATTCGATTACACCTTTTATTAAGCGTGAGATAGCGAGACATTTCTTCTACGCGGAGAAGAAGATCTCATGCAATTGAAAAGGGACCGGACGAGAAACGATATCTCTGTTACCACGACTGAAAAATTCTCTCGGACAGTATTAAAAACTCAGTTGGAATGATTGAAAACAATCGACTGATTAGAGACCTCTCGCAGGAATCTTTCTGTTGGTGCGATCGAGTTTTCTATTTGGTTTCTATTCTCCCCAAGTAACGGAAAATTCAATTACATTAATGGCTTTGTTTTTCCCGTGTAAGAATGACGCAGCATCGAGGGGGAAAAAGGAGAGAGAAAGACAGACGGAGAGAGAGTCGGTAAAAAATATCTCCCTCGGTTCGTCGGTTCGTCGTTTATTCGTCAAACTTACAACCGGTTTGGTTTAACCGTCTCTCAAGCGCGTATAAATATACACCTGTTTACAAAACGATGTTACGTGAACGAAATGTTTTCGCACACCTTTTTCCGCTGAAGTTGGGATGAATTACAATTGTAAGCTACTACTTGCGCGATAATCGATTACGATAGGACTGCCAAGATGGCAGTCCAACTCCAACAACTCCAACAGAAAAGATTCAAGAAAAACACAATTAACTAAATTCTCATCCTTATCAGATAAGAGTGTGACAAAGTGGCAATATTAACACCATGAGCTGTCGTCTCCGGTCATAATCGATTATCAAGCAAGCCCATAAGCAACGACTCGCAGTTGTGACCATTTGAGAAGCGCTCCGCACCGAAAAAGAATGTATTGCATGAAAATCGTTTTGCGAAGCAAAACGTCGGTCATCGCGTGGCGACAGAGGTCAGCGAAATAACCCGCTTTCACACCCCTTCGCCTACGCACAGCTAACCACCGCAGCCACGAAGTGGTCGGATTTAACCGTCCGTTAGTCGCAATATCCAACAGACACACGTTCAGGCTATTGCCGTTGCTACAAGGCCTCAAGGTTTTCCATCCATCCTAATACGTGTCAATTTGTTCTTCACCGTTTCTTATGTACATATTTTGATGCCTGGCCTTTTAGCCAAGTGCTGAAATGAATGAAAATGAATGAAGGGGAAGGTTGTTCCAAGAAGCGGAGGAAAATGACTAGGGAAAATTAGCGAATCCGTGCGCGGGGAGAAATGTTTGGTCGAGCGGGGCAATTTTTTGGTAAAGTATGAACGGTTCCGAAGAAATACCGGAATTCTGTTGTAGTTGACAGAAATCTTGACAACTGACTCTCAACTGACAGCCCCGGCCGGGATTTCTGTATCGTTCATAGCCCAGCGGAAAGTCCTTTCACTCGGGCAAGCATTTTTCTCCGCGTGAGATACGTCGCGACGACCGTTCATGGAAATGAGAATCATCGCGGCTGACGGAGGGTCAATTTGGCCAAGTCTCGTCTCGCGAGACCTTCGCGACGGCGCCTACGACGCTTCGTGCCGTGACAAGTCTCACATGCGTCGCGCGTTTTCACCACCTCGCAGAATCCTTACCCACGAGCACGGCGGAGCACTCGAGCGCCGCGGACAGCGCCGGCGACCAGCAGAGCGACCCGCAGATCCAGCAATCCGCGCAGCAATGGCCGGCCGTGCTGGAGCTGCAAGCGTACAATGTCGCGCACTCCGCCCTCATACCGCCGTACCACTTCTGGAACACGGAATTTCGCAACAAGCAGCCAGCGTTCATCCGGCTGAACCTCACGCTGCCGTGGGGCGCGAACTTCGCCGTTTACGGCAGGCGGAACGTCGCGCCCAGCGTCACGCAATACGACTTTGTGGAGTTCGTGAAGGGCGGCAGGGTGGTCCACAGGCTGAAGAGGGACGCCACCGCGGAGGCCGTCAGCTTCATGAAGTCCGGCAGCACGCAGGACTCGCGTGTGGAACGCGCCGCCCGATCGCCCACGTCCTACCAGCACGTGCTGATCAAGAGGACCATAGCCGACCCGATGACGGTGAACGTCAGTCTGCTGCAGTACTTCGACACCGGCGACTGGTTCTTGTCCGTGTATAACGACGAGCTGCAGCCTTACAAGGTCACACTGGTGGTCACGGAAGCCGAAGGCGTCTCCACTACGTGCCCCAACGATTGTTCCGGACGAGGCTCCTGCTACCTCGGCAAGTGCGACTGCATAGACGGATATCAGGTATGTCAGCGGAACGAAAACAGCCAACAAGCCAATAGGCTGATCTGTTTTGCTCCTCGCATAGAACATTTCTCGGGGTGCCTGATTGGTATCTGGCACTTCCCGATTTCCAGCAATCTATAGGCAGATTCTGCTTCGAATACGCGAGGATCCAAAGACTGGTGCTCTAAACTCTCTTTTAGTGATAAAAGTGACTTACAAGCTTTTCCATCAGCCATAAGCCACTTTTAGAGGCACCTTTATCGGATGAAAGAGAGCTCAGAGCGCTGGTCAAAGTTTTCCTGATATTTTTTTTTAGTTCTCATTACGTTGAAATTTTTTTTTTTTAATTTTTATTTTCCTATATACTAAACGCCACAAGTGCGCGTTTCTAATTAAATAAAACATTGCATTATATATCCCAAAACATGCTACCTCGCTACCTCGAATCATTCAGCCAGAAATGCGGGTTTAAACTGGACAATTAAAAATAAAAGCTGCGGGAATAATAACAAGGTGATTAGGAGATGAAAGTACAAGCGATTGAAAAAGAGAGGCTGAGGAAGCATTCGGAAATAAAAAGAATGTTGCGTGCACTTTTTAAAAAATTATCATCCTCTCAATTATCTAGAGTCGCGTGTCAACATTTGCGTACCGGTTTGTTTTGGCGTCCGGATCGAAGTCGCGCTTTCTCCTTTTTTTTTTGTTTTGGTCGAACGATTGTCGAGTAGAAACGTTTCGTGAGCCTTTCGGCTGTATATTTTTGCATTTCCATTTCAATTTTCTTCATCAGAGGGAGAGGAGCAATCTATAATAGAGCTATAAAAATTATATTCGAAGCTTCGAATTTCTGAAGTTTCGGTTTAGAAATTTCGTTCAATATCCGAGTAACGAAATATCGAAGTGTAAATATTCGAACGTCTGGATATTTGGAATTTCGAAAATTCAAAAGAACGCACGTACAATTGGACAAGTACAAAGTCAGTTTTATTGAGTGATTTTGGACGTTTCGAAGTCAAATCGTCCAAAGCTTCGAAACGCTTCGAATGTATAAAATAATATCAGCTCTACAATCCAATACTCAGATTCAGCACCAGGTTGCTGCTCTCCTTGATGAACTGCAATGTTCACGAAATGCTGGAAACAATTCGACAAAAAGGTAGACATGTATTGTCCCCAGAAATTATAATGCCGAGAAAAGTCATGATACTGAGACTCGAACACCGAGACAATATCCCAAAGTGCAATTTTTCCAAAGCGTACAATTGTTCCCGAGTAAGGATTGTTACCATGAAAACAGCGGACAGAAGTCGAAATCCACCCATTTGAATACACTCTTTGGCTGTACTCAAATGAATATTTACATGAAATGTGTAACAAGATAATTTCAATATTTCGATAAAATTGTAGATGGGATAACTATAGAGATTTGGCTTGTTCGTGTTCAGTGCTCGGACTTTTCAGAAAATTGTCCCACTTTTTAAATACGATGCACTTTTTTCGGGACAATGCATGTCCACTGGCATAAAACGTGACCCCGGAGCGGAACAGTTTAAAACAAACATTACTCTTCAGCGCGAAATTCGAGTCGAAATTTTGAGCCTATTTGCGACCTCAATCGTCTGATCTATAGATTCTGAGAAATCAATATAGATTTAATTTAGAAGTCCTACACTCAGTGTCTTTAAATGGCGGAAAAAGCCACAATTCGTCACTTGTAGACCTTTAAGAAAACCAAAGTGAATCAAAATAAGTTGATATTGGCTTCAGAATCAATGCTCTATTTTTCGAAACCTTCCTCCCTTCTGCGCTTGAATATATAAATCTGCAATTCAGTTATTATCCTGAAAGACTGGTAAAAGAACTCGGTAAAAGATCTTGTGTTCTCAATTTTCTTGCGACACATTTTCTTTCATTGTTGTCATCTTGACAACTTTCTGAAGGCTACATCTCCAAAACCAAGCTTTTACGGACATAGTTTACCCAAGACCTTTTCTACTTAGTTTTCAACATGGGAAATTCGTCCTATAAATTTACCGGTAGAATTCAGATACATCCTGTATAATATTAAATTACGTAGCGTTAAATGGAAGAGACTGAGGTCGAAAGTGGGAGGAGAATTTCGACCGGAGAAGCCTGTCGTTAGCGTATCAGCTTCGTAGCCCTTCGATTTCGCGACATGAATAGCCAAGAAGAGCCAAGTGTAAGCAGCCGTTCGCCATTCGCAGCAGATACTGTAGAACACGAAACGTCGCGATCATTTCAGGGTGCTGATTGCAGTAAAAGCGTGTGCCCGGTGCTGTGCTCGTCTCATGGACAATACGGCGGCGGCATGTGTCATTGCGAGGAGGGTTGGAAAGGCGCCGAATGTGACATACCGCTCGGTGACTGCCAAGTGCCCGACTGCAATCGGCACGGCCAGTGCGTCCGAGGATCCTGCGTCTGTAATCCAGGCTGGAAGGGCGCCTTCTGCGACGAACGTAAGTCTCGGAGGTCGATCGGGAAGGACGGTCTAACGAAGCGCGGCTAACGAGAGATGCGTTCATTCGATCGCCGAGAGAGAAAGAGGCTGAAGGAAGGAAAGGAAAGAGAGAGAGAGGGGTTTAAGATGTTCGCTCTCTCTCTGCCTTTCTCTCTCTCTCTCTCTCTCTCTCTCTCTCTCTCTCTCTCTCTCTCTCTCTCTCTCTTTCTCTCTCTCTTGAATTTAGAACTTCCATTTCCGCGCACAGACGACGAAGACGATCGGGCAGATGTCGAGGATAGCGACGGGCGGGCAGTTTTCGATACGTCGAAATCGATTTCGAAGTGTTATCCCGGGAGGTTTTCGCGAGAGAGAGAGAGAGAGAGAGAGAGAGAGAGAGAGAGAGAGAGCCGCGGTGACGTGGTACGCGCTGCAAAGGGGTTGCGCCCGCGCGCAACGTCACGGCGCATATTTCAGCTTTAGAAACGGCTTAGCGGAAGTTGCCGGCGGGAACATTTACCTGGAACATCTATTTCTGCCCTGGGCGTTATTTCTTCATGTTTGTCACGGCACCATTAATTTCGCCATAATTCAGCCGTACGTCCTGGACCTTTATCCGGGGAGATTTAAGATATTAGTAATGCAGAGCCCCCGACCGTTGGAGAACACAGCCGGTCTATGTACAACCTATAATTAATGCACACGGTGTTCTCCAAATTTACATATGGGTCAAGCCGTGCCAATTCGGCGCGACAATTAGTTTCATATTGTTTCGCGGGAATTTGAATAATACATCGGCGCGCTGCGTGCCACGCCAGCCGCTCGATGCGTTATAATTTCGCGCTCGCGGAACTTCCGAGAGAGTTGAATGACGTCCGATATAAATGACGAGATTATTCGCCGGGAACGAGACACTTCGTCTCTGACATTCTCACGGTCCTCGTTAGAGATACGCCCGCTCGCCGCTTTTTCCTAAACGCAGACGAAAACGGCATTAGTTCCACGCCAGTGGAATATGTCAGCTCCAATCGTAGGGACGATAAATTCGAAAAGTGGAATTTGCATCAGTCGCGACGCGCGACGACAAATGGGGGCTAACAAGCGAAGTTCGCGAAAATCGTCGCGCTTCCTGAGAAAAAGGACCGATGACTTCTGCTTCGATTATATACTTCTCGCTCGCCGTTGTAAACTCGTCGTTGAGTTTTGCGTCTCGCGTTTTCAATCTCGCGCGTGTCCGCTCGCCAAGATTTTCGTGCGGTAATATGTCACGCGTCGTAATTTTGTGTTCAATCTTTTCAAGACTCTTTATCGTTTTTTTTTTCGATATTATCTAAATTAACACGCCGACTACAACGCTGGCGAGCAGTGATCGACGTTACAATATTGCCGCATCTCACTAATTCATGCGCACCACCAACTGTGTACAACAAATTAAATATACAGTCGATGGAAAGTTGATGGTAACGAGCTGACGAATACATGCATCGCCAGAGATACATTTGTTCGCCGCATCTTTGGCATTGCAAACTTGAGTTGATCATTGAAATAATCAGACGTCGGGAATCAGTGTGCCAATCAGCGTGTTAATAATCGAAACGCTCTAACTTGACGCTCTCGCTATTGAAATAATGAGATGGGAATCAGTGTGCCAAGCAGCGTGTTAATAATCGAAACGCTCTAACTTGACGCTCTCGCTATTCCTACCTGCGCGGCGTGCCACATCGATTCCCGGCAAAAATAACACCTCGCGCAACAGACGAGTAAATAAACGAGTCGCTTTACCAATTAAGTGCAATTTAATTTCTCGTAAAATTTAGCGCTCGACAGAATATCGTACACATTCGAGGAGTCAATTTCCCGTTCGACGCGCACCCAGCGAAATATATTTGGCATTTGCGAGACTACAATCGCGTGGTGTAAGACTTGAAGTCGGAGAAAAACTACTTTTGTAACAACTGTTAATGATGATAATTTGTACAATTATTTGTATAAAATTCGTTATTTAATTATTTATATAAAAATAACTCAGATCACACCTCCGTTAAACGGATGAACGGATCAAACGGGTGATCGTCAGAAGCAATATTGCGTCAGGGACGTCGAGAAACAGGAATAAATCTTGGAAATCTTGAACCTAAAGATCAAAACGACTATAATTTATATATATTCACACAAATATAATTCGTCCAATTATTTATATGAAAAATAGCTCAGATCACCTCCGTTAAACGGAGGAATCATTAAACGGGTGATCAAGCGGACGAGCGAATTTTTCTCAACGCGAGTGCGCGAGCTAACGAGAACTCCCGCCGGATTCTAACGAGAGCGGACGAATCAATGATCCCGTCCGATCAAACATCGCCCGTGCGCGAGAAAACTCCCCGAGCGGACAATCTCTCGTCAGTCGCTCTTCGATCAGCTCGTGTATACGCGGACGGTGTACACGCGACCGCCGCCGCCGCCGTCGTCCTCGTCGCCGTCGCCGTCGCCGTCGTCGCCGTCGCCGTCGCTGCCGCGTCGAGGACGCTCCGGAATTAAGTTTCATAATTTCCCCGGGGCAGGCGGGATCCGCGAGAATAATGCAATTGTTCCGATGCCATAATTTAAAAAGTTGGTCCATTCGTTCACGCCGTGGACGCAATCAGCGGTGCCCGGGCGTGACGGGGCGCGAGGACGAGGGACAAGGGGGGGGGGATGATAACCGAAGGGACACGCCGCGGGGATGCGAGTCTTGGAGCGGGCTTTTAGGCTCCTTCCGACCTTCCGTCCGGGGGGGACGCCGAGGCCGAACGGCGAAAACGGCCGGCTAATCTAATCGCCGCGCGTGCGATCCTCCTCCCTCTGTCGATTTGCAGCCGACTGCTCCGACCCGAACTGCAGCGGCCATGGTGCCTGTGTCTCCGGCAAGTGCTACTGCAAGGCGGGCTGGCAGGGCGAACGATGCAATCAGGTCGACCAGCAGGTGTACCAGTGTCTACCGGGCTGCTCCGATCACGGCACGTACGACCTCGAATCCGCGGCCTGCGTCTGCGAGGAACACTGGACCGGGGTTGATTGCTCGCAGCCGAGCTGCGGCCTGGACTGCGGACCTCACGGATCCTGCGAGCAGGGTCGTTGCAAGTCAGTATACCCTGCGTGCATGCGTATGTATATGTGTGTGTGTGTGTGTGTATGTGTGTACTTCGTAATCGCGGGCCTTTGGTCCTGGATTCTCGTTATCCGTCCAGGCGAAGGCAGGCAGGTAGGGAACTGATCGATCCTCTCTTGGTCAAAATTCTTCGAAGCTTTCGTGCTGAGATATTCGCAGTCACTGTCATGTCTCAGTCATTTCGAGACTCGATAGACTCTCGCCGGGCGCTCTCAACGCTCGTTGGTCTTTCACCAGGCATGTGAATGTCTGGAAAGAACGTTCTGCGGGGAGGGGAATCTAATTAACGGTAAGGGAGAAGTTATGGTACTTCTCGGGGCTTTCTACCGCGGCTTCTTCGCGGATAGATTCGGCGACAGTTTGAGCAGTCATCCGCTGACGTGTTAGAAGTTAACGTGATTTAATACCAGATGTCTATTCGTTGGATCTGTGCAGTCGTCCCCCTTGATTCCTTCGAGATTAAACTTAAAGTCAACGAAAAACAAAACTAATCTGTAATTATAACATTTGCGAAAGAAATATGAGTAAATTCATATGTTTCCTCAAGTTAGGAAAATGTGGCAATTGAAGGCCCAAATGTTCAAGCTCCTCAACAAAATCAATTCTGCGAGTCTTAAGCCCAGTGGCCTTCAGGCCTGTCTGTTATATTAATTCATTAATTTATTTTATTTTCATTTATTTATTTTTTCATTCATTTATTTATTTTCATTTTATTTTCATGTCGCCTGGCCACTAATTGAAACGCTCGCTTTGTTTTTGAGCGGAACGACCCCAAGTACCGTGACTTTTCCCTCACCGCAAATTGCTACGCCCCTTTACCTAAGTTTAACACTACACGCTCCGCGCAGACATTCTTGTGTCGATGGTGGCTTTAACCGGCCTCATTTGTTAACACCACAACGCGCGGGAGCGAGGCATCGTCGACGATGAGCTCCACGCCGCACACAGCGACATTCTTGCTCCCGAACGAACCGCAATCTAAGGGTGAGAGTCAAATTCGACGAAGGATCGACGAAGGAACGATACTCCTGTATGCCGTCGTGTCTACACGGCGACGGAGTGAGAATCCAGCTTTACGGGTCCTTCGCGGAAGCCGCGAGCTGATCGCGCGCGATTAGTTTGATCCTGCGCGAACGGCCGCCGTTCCGTCTCGAGGTCGAGCGACGGATATCTCGAATGTCTCGTTGTCCGATCATTTCCCTCGGATCGAAGGAACCTCGCGCGACCTCGATTCGCGGAGCCGTTCCGATGCTTCCGCGGATCCTGCCGGATCGCTGTTTAACGCGAGAGATTTGCGGAATTGCGCGGACGTGGCCGACTATCCGGCCGCGCGCTCCGTACTTGGCCGGAGTACGTGCGCGATGTGTGGGACTTTTCTCGCGACTTTTACGATCGACATAAATTATTGGCTAATGTCGCGCCGAACACTGCGGGGCGCTGTCAAGTTTTCAACGAGGGCTGCGCGCGCGCGCGCGAGCGAGCGAGCGTGAGAGAGGAAGGCACGCCGTGAGTATTTAATAGTAATCCGCTCGTGAGAGAGAGAGAGAGAGAGAGAGAGAGAGAGAGAGAGAGAGAAAGGGAGTGAGTGTGAGTAACATTTTGCCGGGACATTGAAATATCGTGCGATAGGTGTGGACGAAGAATGGCCTAAAAATGAGTAGATCGCTCCCCGGGAGCGCGGGCGCGAAAGTTAGGGCTAAAAAGGTAAAAAATTGCGAGAAAAAGGCTCTGTCTTACGAGACGCCAACTTATCACACAACTCGAAGGGCCCACCGTCGTCCCTTCCTACTTTCCTTTGTCAGAATCAAGGACGCGGGTGAGGATCTCCTTTCTCATATTCTAAAGCTGACGCCTCTCGTCTACTCTCCTGTTCCATCCTCGAGAGTTGGCGTAAAAGAGGCTCTAAAGCGCAAAAAGTTCCGCTGCCGCCGCCGCACGGCGGCGGAACAACTTTGGAACTGAATTCAAACTCGCATTTTTTATTGCCGGTATAAACGGTGAGAAATGATTTTACGTTCGGCGACACCTCGATTCAACTCGCAACGTAACGTTAATGGTTCTCAACGAACTGATATACCGAATGCGATTGTGCGTATCAATTTTCTCTCACACCTTTCTCCATCGCGTTCTCCTCTGAGAAAAGGCACCGTTTACGTAAATTCCGAATGCATTCGAGTCGCATCGAAGCATTGGCGTCCTACACGCCGGCTGGACTGCTGCTGACTTTCGCGTAACGTGTCCCGAGTGGGAGGAGCTTGTGGAACGCCATGACATTTTAAGTTCACTCATGCGTGTGTACGTAAATCGACACCGACAGTCGCCATTGAGAAATTAATATTAGGGTTTATGATGCATAACGTGATTAAAGTTTCCAAAGTACCATTGTTAATTACGAGCAACGCACGCGCCGGTAGCAATAAGCATCCAAAGTACACAGGAGAAGGAATCGGAATACTAAGCAATATGAAAGACAAATATTTGTGGTTTTAATCAAACCGATCAAATCATGGCGTACTACTTCCCCGATTAGAGCAGACGTAGAATCGTTCGCGTGATACGTACACGCTCCATATTATACGATGCTTATTTTCCACTCGTCTCGAGTCGGCAGTGCAGTTAATACAGGGTGTTTCTAAAGTCTGATCCAACCCCCTGGGTCTCGGAAACGGCTTTAGATATAGAAAAATATCTGAGACAAAGAGACGAAGATGGGATATTAAGGGGGATAGGTGATGCAAATGCGGACTTGATCTTGACCTCTTCAAGGCCAGGTCAATGTGATCGAGGTTTTTTTAAACTCTCTGGAATCTTTTTATCGCATACTCTTGTAACCTGCGTGTTTCGCGAAATTTGGTCACCGAGTTGGTTGGGTCAGAGACTTTAGAGACACCCTGTAGAAGTGTGTGCTTGAAAACTCTTTCCCGTGATGCTGATTATTTGTCCCGTTGATGCTTTTGACAGTTAGGCGACTCGCGAGGATTCTGACATAGTTTGTACTAGTGTAATTCGTAATGTCGTAAATGTTTACGGTGCAAGATGGACGGCGCGTTCGTTTGCAGATGCCACGACGACTGGACCGGCACGAAATGCGACCAGAAGCCGTGCGATCCGCGCTGCGCCGAGCACGGTCAATGCAAGAATGGAACCTGCGTGTGCAGTCAAGGATGGAACGGGAGACACTGCACCTTACGTACGTAAAATAGCGCGAATCACCGGCGAGTTACCATCAAAGACGGTCAGGCTTGGGCAAAATGTTCTCGCGACCTCGAAACGACTCGGTGGAATTTAGAGATACTTGAAGAATGATGGCATGATCGACTTTTTTCGATTCGATTTTAGTCGATCGCCTGCTGCAAACATCTGGGTTACTATTATCTTCTTCGTTCATAAATCATATTTACTTCACCATTATTCATGACTTACTACGTCGATGTTTCGCGATGATTTGACGCAAAACTCACCGACAGGAGCTCGCTAAACTACATAATTTTTCATACACGCTACATCTCCTGAGGCTGACTGTCTTTACTCTTACCTCGTCGGGGCGTAAATTTGCATTTTTCGAACGAGTTTGCCGTACTTCATCTCGAGCTGGAGCGTACACCTCGCCATCGTGCAATAAAAGAAGTTCTGCGATACGGGTCGGTCGGACAATCGGCGATTCTTTAATAATCCGTTCGATTGGCCTGACGATCGTAGCAATCGACGTCTGCTTCCCTGTTTGAATAGCTGGCTGCGAAAATGGATGCAGCCGCCACGGACTGTGCACGTTGCAGGACGGCGAGTACAGTTGCGAATGCTCGACCGGATGGGCCGGTAGAGATTGCAGCATACGGCTTGAAATGGAATGTAATGACTACGTCGATAACGACGAAGGTGAGTCCCGGATCAACCGATCTTGAATCGCTAATGACGTGTGTGTGGTGACTCGTCCGTATCTAACGGATATTGTTTCTGCAAAATACGATCCGAGGGCGGATTCGTCCGCGCCTGCGAAATATCGTATTATTATATATCGTATATGTGTAATATTAATACAGCGGCAAGGGGGACACGGGGGACATAGAAAACATTGAAACGCCGGGAAACAGCGGTAACGCGACACGGCGGTTTGGCAAATCGTCGTCAAATGACGATCTCGAATTGTCAGCCGGTCTGTACTCGGACGAATGAATTCAATGATTTTCACGGAAACATAGTTCACACTGGAAACGATGAAAAATTAAAGATAACAATCCGACATTTGGAGTCATAAGTCCGAAATTTCAAATAATTCGACTTGAGATAGAATGCTTGAATTCTATTAAGCAATTCGAAATATCCAAGTTGGTAAAGCTGATTTTGAGGACTGCGGCGATCGGTACCGTTCGAATGTTTGGATATTCACGCGTGGAAATTCCGTTGTGCGAAGCTTCTTGAAAGCTCCGAGAGGCTTCGGATACAATTGATCACCCGGATAAGAATATATCGAGAGCGGCGCGCGCTCGAATGCGACTGTGTGTGTGTGTGTGTATGTGTAACGAGTCTTCTTTCTCGTGAGCAGATGGCATGATGGACTGTTCCGACAGCGAGTGCTGCTCGCACGACGCTTGTTCGGAACACATCATGTGCCTCGCTAGCAACAATCCTGTGGACGTTCTGCTGCGGAAGCAGCCGCCCAGCGTCACGGCGTCCTTCTATCAGCGGGTCAAGTTCCTCGTCGAGGAGAACAGCGTACAGAGCTACGCTCACATGGACGAGTACACGGAAAGGTAAGATCGATCATTTCCCACTTGGACGGATTAAAATTCGAATTAGATCGCTTAGTCTCTTATACTTTCATAATATATATATATATATATATATATATATATATATATATATATATATATATACACACATATAAGTGAGAATAACGTCCGCGCGAGTGACCGAGAAAGCCGCTGCGCGCAGCCCAGCCTCTCGTACTCGAAGTGCGACAAATGCTGATTGTCGTCGCGTTTTCGCATCCGATCGACCGCGGCGACGGCTCGGTCGATCGCAAGGACGTGCCGCATATAACGATTAATGAAGATAAAATAGCCTAGCTGCGTGTCATAGTTTGGCCTTTTTACGACCTTCATGCAACCGCGCGCATTACTTTTCTCGTTCTTATCGTTAGCCAGAAAGTGCGCGCGCGTGTGTCATCGTGTGTTTGGTTGGATACTTTTGTTCCTTTTCACCACGTGCATACACGGCACGCCGCGATCCGTGCCACGGAGTGCGCAACGGTGCAACGTCCTACGAGGGCGTCATTAATGTCGAAATTGCAATTTACAGGACTGAGGAATTTAATGTACGAAATAAAAACAAAAGAACAGTGCTACAATAGCGACGTATCGCGCCAGGCTGCACGCGGTTATATCGGGTTATGAATACGATTGTGTGTGTGTGTGCAACTCGCGCGCACGCGCGCGCGTTTTCAATCTGTGGTAACGGTTTACGATGGGGTTACATATTCTCTCGCGCGCGTTTATTATATTATACCTTTCTCTTCTCACGCGCGATTCTTGATCATACGCCGCGCGCGCGCGCGTCGCAGTAATTCCGCGCGTGTGCGCGATCGAGTTGAGTTAAAATGCATTTTCAGCTTTGAATACGCGTAAAAACGAGCTTGCCAATTTCTCGCCGTAACGCGTAACGCGAGTCTTGCGCTTACAAAATGCACGCCCGCGACAAACACGAGCCGCGCATCGGCGAACTTTTGTCCTCGTACGCGGACAAGTTGTATGCGGTGTGCGCTCTTTCTTGGGAACGGACCGAACGATCGGCGGCGCAACGCCGACGCGGAAAACGAATCGGCGATACCGTCGTCTGATTTTGCACAAGCCGCAGTTACGAAATATACTTTATCGATCGAACGCGCGTCGAGACTATCACTTCACGGACGGAGTCCGTGCGTTATGTGTCGCAAGTATTTATTTCGCGAATGGAGATACCGCGATTAATTATTTATTGCATTCGTGTCTCCCCCCATCGTGAGCGGCCATTGAACGACGCAAAAATCGTATTACAAATTTGATCGACTCGTCACGAATCCAAACACACCCGTGACAGCTGAAAATATCGAGAGTGCCCCCGGTGGGTGACACCCTGCAAATCTCTAACTATCCTTTTCCCAGTGTTTCACCCCCTTCCTCCTCCGAATGCCGATTGTATCGATAATCATCTCGGAAGCATTGCCAATCAAAGGGTACCCTCGCCCCCCGCCCCCCGCCCCCCCCGGTCGACTGCAATAATTTTATACGGCTCACGAGCGCGCTCGATAATAATTTCGATAGTAATTCCGACCTCCAGCCGGCGTGTGTGTGTGCGCGCGTGCGTGCGTGTGCTATTATCAATTCATGCACCGACACTACGGCGATAAATAAATAAACGGACGAGTAAATGCACCGCGTCTGTCGTATCCGCAATAAATGACATTTGATTTCCACTTGACAGATTAATACGGAATATTGCAACACATATTTACACCGTGCGCGTCGTCGACTTGACAACGAGAAAAGAGGAGAGAAAAACGTGTGCGTCCGATGAGTAGTTTGCGCGGCTCTTTCAGCGCGTTGCTTCCGGCACACTCGACGAGAGATTATCGGCAATTACTTCGGGCCGAAGCGACTGATCATTTGCACCCGCAAGAAACGATGTCTCAGGCGAGACGGCGCGGAAGATGAAGAGAGAGGTCGTTCGCCGGGTAGGACCCGCGGAGTGCCGAGAGTGCATAACTTTTCGAGATCCGGAGATCCTTTGAGACATCTTTCTTTGTTCGGCACTGGGAGAGGTATTATCGATACTTGCGCGAGCCTCGCTGCAAGAGGCCGCGGAGGCATTTCGGGGGAAATCGTGTATTTTGTCTAGTGTTTCTCCTCTGTGTGTACCCCTTTACCACCACCACCAAATCACCAATCACCCCACAGAGCCGAAGACCGGAAAAAGAAAAGAGGCTCCGTGCCGCCTACGGAATTGTGAACGACGTGAAAGTCTGCATAACACGAGAATATGCTGGAGAAACTTGCTTTTGTACTTACTTTATCTGACTTCCAATTCATTTCTCACGCGTTAACGTACTCTCTAGGCACTGTTCGTGTGTGATCGTTATGAGATACATAACGGTACTCGGCCTGCGCGCGGTATAATAACGTAAGGGAGGATAGAGATACATTTTCAAAATTACACTTCCGGCGCCCCAATAATCAGGCCATTCGTTAAGCGATTACGAGAAAGGAGTTCATAGATAAAGCGCACGAATGGTCGAGTCGGACAGGCAACATCGAGTTCTCCCTCCTCTCTCTCTTCCTCTCTCTCTTCCTCTCTCTCTCTCTCTCTCTCTCTCTCTCTCTCTCTCTCTCTCTCTCTCTCTCTCTCTCTCTCTCTCTCTCTCTCTCTCTCTCCCTCCCCCTCTCACTCTTTCTCTTTCTCTTCCTCTCTCTTTCTCTCTCTCTCTCTCTCTCTCTCTCTCTCTTTCTCTCTCTTTCTCTCTCGCGAGAGGACCGGGAGAGAGAATTTGCAACATTATCCGCGGCGAAGGTCCGCCGCACTAAACTATCGATGCCGAAGAACACGAGTTGCCGTGACTCAACCATTCGTGCAAATACTTCTAGACATGGTAGACACAAGTTTGAAATTTCTCGTGCCGTTTTCTTTCTCTTTCTTGTTTTCCCTTGTGTGCGTTTCGCTTGCGCGGTTGTACGCTGCGTATCACACGCCGCCGTCGATGAGATTCGAACAATCGCGCGTCACACAGCATCATTTCCGTCCGTTGTATCGTTCACCCGTCACAATGTTGGAATATCGATTGCTGCTCCGAGTATACTTACGGCCATCCGCAATATGCAACCTTCTTTCGCGAGGATTCGCTTCCTTAAGAGTTTCTCACTCTTGCCGAATTTTTCGAGTTTACATTTTTGTGTATCTTTTAAAGCGCCTACTCTCCCCCCGCTGTGTCGCATCGGCAGCCCTCGCACTCGCAATTGACCGAGCTCCCAATTTTGCGTGTACATTTACATGTCGTGGGGGAACTTGTCACGGACGATTCTCACGCTATCTGCATTGTCATCCTCATTCTTTCGTCCTCGAGATTCATGGGTTTCACACGGACGGCTGTTATTCCGGTATCGTCTTCTCGCTGCTGAGAGACGCCCGCGTATCGCTTCCGTGAGGAGGAGGACAGAGAGGGAAAGGGCATTCGCGATTGTTTCTAGAGTCCAGATTCGCTCCGAACGAGACTCTGAGGGAGGGGGAGAGAGATAGAGAGAGATAGATAAAGAGAGAGAGAGTGAGAGAGAGAGAGAGAGAGAGAGAGAGAGAGAGAGGTGCTCCGCAGGTAGTACAAGTACTCGCGATGGTGATGAATCAGGAATTCAGACTGGCATCGAGGTTGCTCGGACAGAGTAATCAATATTCGAGAATCGTCTCTCAGCCTGGGCCCTAGATCGACGCCGATGGAATCTCCTCTCGTTGTTCAGTCCGCGCGGGCGATCCTTCCGACCCTGGTTAGACCGAACCGATAAGAGTTTCCGTCGGCTCGCTCCGTCAGGATGTCCACGCCAAGGACGGTGTCAGAGGAAGGGGCAGCCCGGCCGTCGGCGAAACGAGACGCCGCGTATTAACATATTACGGCCGGTTATTCAGCCGTCGTGTTTCCGGGCCCTATGTATCATTATACATATGTGTGTACGTTGCGTAGTTTCCAACTTGTGTCTGTCACATTGTATACCACTCTATGTTGAATGAGTCCGAGAGTGACTGCGTTCATGTTGCGTGACTGGAAGGATCGCGTGTATGATGGGTACGCTTGATTAGTGTGTGTCTACGTCTATTGTTTCTGTAATGGCGTGCGGAACATTGCGAGGAGCACTCGTGTGACCCCCGTGCACCGGTCCAGCCGGTGCCGGGACGGAACCGGAGACCGGAGCCGGCCGCCGCGTCCGGTCCTGATCGCGCCGAGATCGACGCGGATACTTGACGCGATACTTGTTCGCTGCCGGCGCACGCGATCGGCCGCGTGCGCGGAAAAAAGAGCAGCGGAGAGAAAATCTTTGGCAAAAAAAGAAAAAAAAAGAAATAAGAAAAAGCAAAAGAGAAAACGAAGAGAAAAAGAGCAAGCAAGCAAGCAAGCAAGCAAGCAAGCCATTCGGAGCAATCGCGATGAGATGATTGCTCGCGCAATGCTGCGCACGCGTATCCGTTTTTTTGCCCGTAAACGCGGGTTCTGTGACCGTGGTAACGCCCTTTCTTCTCGTTGGTTTTTCCCACACGTAGTACGTTCTGGAGTTCCTTTACACCGCGGTAAGTTGCAGCTCAAGCTCTCGCTAATCGTTCATTATCCAAAAAGAAAGCAAGCAAGCAAGCAAGCAAGCAAGCAAGCAAGCAAGCAAGCAAGCAAAAAAAAAGTAATATTAGCAAAGAAAGAAAGAAAGAAAGAAAAGCAAAAGCAGAAAAAAAAAATAGAAAAAGAAAGAATAAGAAAAGAACAAAAAAGTGTCATCTATTGCTCGTTTCGCTCGTACATTCATCTTACATGTCTTTCGTATGACCCATTAATATGTAACACATATGTATTTATATATCGAACCTTTAGCCTGCCTACTGTCATTACTCTCCTAGTACATACGTTTCGTTCTTTCTCTCTGTCTTCCCCTGTCTATACGCCGCCCATGTAACAGCCTGTTATCATTTCTCATTATACGATTATTTGCGTTTCGCCAGTGTTTGATCACACTTCGCTTATTTGTCTCTCATCTCTCTCATCCGACACCCCCCGCTCTATATACTTTGTCCGTTCTCTCAGCCTCTCTATTTACCACCTGTCTATACCCTATCTTGTCTTTATTCACTTTCGCGGCCCATGGCCACGCTCTCGCGTTGATACGTACAGGAGTGGTCGGTTTTTGCGCTACCCCGGTTTGTGTCCCACTCGAGAGAAAGAGAGATGGGGAGAGAGAGAGAGAGAGAGAGAGAGAGAGATACGCGTACTAGATGATACGTGCCTTTTCCCCCCTTCACCTTCTCTCTCTTTCTCTCTCTCTCTCTCTCTCTCTCTCTCTCTCTCTCCCTCTCTCTCTCCCGTCGAATATCCGTGGAATATTTTTCTAAAAATACGGTCGAATGCCTGTTTTCGCAAATAAAAACGCCATGGACTTCGGCAGGAGCGGGAGGGGGGGGGGTAAAAAACATACAAGAACGAGAAACAATCCTCCTGACATCGATATCGAATTTATAGCGGATATTCACGGTAACCTACTTTTTTTTTCTTTTTTTTCTTTTTTTCCTCTCTCTCTTCGGTCTGCTCTCCGCTCGTTCACGCCAAGTCCACCACGTCAGAAGCGCGGATCCGGGACCGGGGTTTAATCGCGCCCTTTCCGAAAGACCTTTCCGCGATTCCGCGATCTCGGGGGTCTCGTCGTCGCGCGCCCCTCTCGCGCCGCGATCTCGCTGTTTATCAAGACGAGTTGTTATCACACGCTTGTACGCATCATCCGAGCCTCTGTCCATGGGCGAGAGCTCTCTCTCTTCACGTATACGTTTATAAAGTCAACCGTACGAATTGTCTCTGTGTTATCTGTGATATGTCGTGAGATCGTTGTCACCCCTTTTCTGTTATGTCTTGTCTTCTTGTCCCTTAGATGCGTTAGCCATGACTGATGTACACGTAATAGTATGTTACGAAGCGTGTAACGATTTTTCATCAACCTGGTCTTGTGTTGTTTGTGTTTGCCAGGCTTGCATTTTATGTACATCATCCTGTCGAACTTGTCTTATAGTGAACGTCCTAGCATTTTACACACGAAACGCTGACCTTATTGCGCGCCTCCTGCGTGAACGACTGTTGCGTTCTGTTTTCTTATCCGTTCCTTTTTCTGTCTCATATGTATATTATATATATATATATATATATATAATACATATATATATATATATATATATTTCTACGATACGGACACGAGATAATAAGCTCAACAGGTGTACGTGTGCGCTTTCTGTTCTATCGACGGATCGGCAAGTATCGCTAATCGGTACCGTACAGTTGAAGAAGAAGGACCCCGAAGGACCGTCCCTCCTTGTCCCTTGTCTGCGTCTGTTATCACCCGTCTAAAATGTGCCAATGACCCCCACCGACACCAACGCCCTGTGTCTGTCTTGATCCGATATCCGATGAAATCGAAAACCCACCGACATGATCGGACCATATGCCAACCGTAACCCGACCGATCCACGTTTCTACCACATCCGTCTCTATCGCGATCCCCGCTCTATTACTAGTTAACGACGCTTCTTTCTGGCGCGGAGTATACATTAAAGACGAGGAACGTTTACTCTTGTGCGTTGGACCATTGCCGTTGGAAAATTTGCGATCTCTCGTACGTGTTGGTGTTTCTCTGGAAAGTAACGTTCCCGACGTTCGCGCGAGATGAAACGATGGAAAAGAAGGCGAAGCGGGAGAAACAGAATAGACGAACAAATCGAGGAAAAGATTTATGAGAGGACAGAGAGAGAGAGAGAGAGAGAGAGAGAGAGAGAGAGAGAGAAAAATAGATAGACGGATAGATAGATAGATAGATAGAGATAAAGAAACGGTGATATCGCCGACAATCATTCGCTCGTAAACTCGGTGAGGAAAGAAAGAAAAAAAGAAAGAAAGAAAGAAAGAAAGAAAGAAAGAAGAAAGAAAGGAAAGAAGTAACGCAAAAAGCCAGATCAATAATTTCGACGGCGTTAGGTGTACGCGTCGCGCGCGCGTGTACGTTCTCTTCTTTTGTTTGCCGTTATCTGCATATAGGTTGACGATGACTGCCTTTAGAGATCTCGGTGCATTCGAGGATCATCCATTTTTCTGTTTCTGTTTACCATTTCACTATGGGTTTGGACGTACAGTAGTGACGACTGTGCCTGCCACCTTGCTGTGCTCGCACTTGGAGGATCAGCGCCCGCCCCGTGTCTACACCCTTATCTTCCTTCCGACAATGTTTGATCCTCAAGTCACCCGGAACAGCGGCACGGTCAGCGACCGAAATCGATAGACGAGGTGAAGTGCGAACTCGGTGCGGATAATGATGTCGCAATTCGAGTCTTCGCGTAGGCGAAAGTGAGACAGAAATGGACAGAAATTACCGCCTTGAGAGACGATAAAAAACGCGACGATCGATGGAAGCTGCGTTTATTTCGCGTCTCAGGTAAACACCGATCGGATGAACCGTGTCGTGTCGGGCGAAACAACGACGCGAGTCCTAGCTTGGTAAATTAAAGTACCTCGTGCGAAACCCAACTGCTTCCTCTCGGTAAAGTCTGCAGCTCCCTTTGGAAACGAGAGCGAGAACCATTTTGTCTAGTGCCGAAATAATTACGCATTATGTTTTAAAATGTCTGAAGTCTATCATTATGTCTGACTGATTACTGGTTTATATTATTAGTCCGTCCAAGCTCGAATAAGGCCACATTCTTCTTTTACGAACATCTAAAAGCTGCAAAAGCAAATCCTCCTTTCGACTATATTGCGTGTGTGCAAATAGGATCTATATTGATTTCCAAGCTACCGCACGAGCTATCGAGAAGATGAGCCATCAATATGGACGAAGATGTCGGTATTGAGCTTCGGCAGACTTGCAGTCTTGTACGCCAAATTGACAGGAATGTAGCCTTATACTCGACGAACTTGTCTTCTCTCATTCGACGAAGAAAGAGTCAGATCACTGAGAATCCGTAAGAATCGAGCTCAAGTTACTCCGGACATGGTACGGCCGCGAAACCTACAAACTCGATTCGCGGAAATGGTCGATGGCCGTCCGTGTTCAACGTGTGACGCGACCATCGATGTCACTCGCAGCGTTGGGACACGCGCGATCCTCCAAGAACGAATATGTCCCCATACGCAATCCCTTAGAGACCGGTAGATATACACGTATATATATATATATATGTGTATGTTACGTACATAATACGTACATATATATATATATATGTGTGTGTATGTACACACACACACACACACACACACACACACACACACACACACACACACACACACACATACACACACACACACACACACACACCTACATACCGAACGCACAAACGGATACATAGTTTGTTGCACGGCGTATCATCGCGCGTGTCGCACGTGTCGCGTCGCATTAGTGGCCGACCAAATTCAAAACGCGGTGTAACAAACTACCTACATATATACATACACGGATACCTGAACACACACACACACACACACCCGACATGTCGCATATGTCTATATACATTATATGTATATACGTATGTACGTATAATGTATGTACATCGTATGTACGTCGACCTCACATCCAGCACTACACAGATCGCTTAAAGATACTCAGCTTCAAACGTTCCGACTCTCTCTCTCGCCAAGAACCCACCAGCCCGCTATCCCCGCCCCTTCAGAGTTCATATATTACGCCTGTTATTATATTACATATTATATATCTCACACACGCCTACTACGTATCTATATAACATGACTGCATGTCTTTTATTCTCACGAGATAATTCTCCCGGCTCCGTACGAATCATCCCTGCCGCCACCCCCGACACCACCACCCACCCACCCCTCCCGCCCTTCCCCGCCCCCGTCCATTTGCCACATGACGATTATGTCTCTCTTCTCCATTTTCTCTCTTCTCTTTTCGTTTTTTTTTTTTTTCTCTGGTCTCTGAAAATCCCGAAAGTCAGTGCCGAGAAGAATGTTCCCGCCTCGCTGCCATCGCCACTACCGAATGCTGATTTTCGCGAGCACAATGCATCGTCGACGCACTGCGCGTGTTCCGCTGCCCTCGCCGCCGACACCCCACCCCCTTCTCCGCCCTCGTTCCGCCACCCCTCGCCTACGCGGCATTGTTCTATTTGTAAAATCAATTTGTATCGCTCCTCGATTCAGCCAGAGGCATTAGCTTCCCTTGTACGTGGCAACGCGGCCGTCGAATGTCGGCCGAATGGAGTTGCGGATTGTATTGGCAGCGAAGTGAGAATATTGGATCGCATTGAACCGTTGACCGCGGAAGCTGATTTAACAGGCGAAATCGATTGCTCGCGTCCGCGCCCGCGCCCCCGCCCCCGCCCCCGCCCGCGCTGCCGCCCCCGTCCGCGCCCGCGTAAAGACACTTGCTCGCGCATCGACCGAGAAGTATGATCGCGTTATCCGGGTTAATTAAACGGACATTAACGACGCTCCGTTAACCGGCAAACGACACTAGTAGAAAACTGGATCGCCCAGTAATTCGCGTGCATTTCAGATTCTTTCATCTCGACGCGCGCGGGACGTGTCACGTGAGGTCGATCCGCGCGATCCGCGGAAGAAACGGAAAGAACACCGCGATTGTACACTCGACTCTGAACATTCTTCTTGCCCGGTCCTGAGATTCGAATATTTAAGCTCTCGACATGGCACGTGTACGCGTACGTTTCATGTTGAAGAAGTCTCGACATTCGTACTTGAAGACCGAGACAATCAGAGAACGTCATCCAGAGTCAGCCATCTGTCCCGGCATTAAACGGTGATTCAACTCTGAACGTTAACTGAACGTTAAGAGGTCCGTTGAAATTAGACGGCTGGATTGGGCTGGAAAAAATCCCGACTTTAGACTTAAAAAAATAGAGGGTCGATGCCGCGAATCAACGAAGGTACGACTATTTTCCGAGAGGGGGAGCGGCGGGAAGCACCCCATCGAGGAGATGCACGATTTCTTTTTTCTCCGCGGTAGAACGCGGAGCTTCCGCTTTTTAGGGCGGCCGGACGGGCGGGCGCGCTCGCGCGAGATTACATTCCGAACAGCGGCGAGTGTGATTGCGAAAATGTTTCGTTTTAAATCAGCATCGCGCGGATTAATGGGTCGACGAAACGATCCCGCTTCAGTGGACTGCGATATATCTATAATTTGTAACAGTCGAGTTGCGGTGATGCGAGGCCAAGTTGTTACCGAACAAGGACTCGGAATAGTAGGCATCCGGGTGTCCGTGGACAGAGACTCGCGCTTTGGATTCACCTTGACCAGAGCAGACGGATGGTAAGGATCGACCATTCATTCACACTTTTCACCCGACCAGCCAGCACACGTTCGTTCCTCCCGACTGCCGTGCGCCCTGCTGTATTCGGGACGAACAAGAGAAACGGATGTAACCGAGAGAGAGTCCTTAGGCCCGCTTTTTGAAGCGCTGCACTCTGAATCCGAGGGTTTTTATTACTTTGACCGATTCACTCGCGATCTAATACGTTTAAACTCGCTGCTTTCAAGCAAGGCGCGAGAGAGACGCTCAAAGGGAATAAAAATTAGGCGTATAAAAATCACGTACTCAGACTTGCAGTGGCCCGCGGAGCTTCGAATAAGCCGAGGTAATGTTCCTCTTTCGGCCCTCAACGGTTAACAAGACTCGTGCAAATTGTGAGCTTTCGATGACTCGCCGCTTGAGTAAGGAAAACAGAGAGAGAGAGAGAGAGAGAGAGGTCGGTTGACCGTCTCGTGGCGCGCCTCAAGTGAGTCGCAAGAAATTGAGCGCGAGGATCAAACGATGTCGGCTGTCTTTTCGGGGGCTTAAATCCTTTTAAGCTTTTCCGGCTGCCGAAGTGAAACGGTCGTAGTAGAAGTAATACGAACGATGATAACTCGCGCTAATAACCGCTCACTACTACACACGCACACAGGCAATTGTGCAGTTCACATTTTGAGAGCCGGCGTAGTTATTACTGGGGCATAATATTATTGTGAAAGAGGGATTTGCCCGATTATGGCGGGCACTCGTAACGACGCGCGCACGTAAATGACGGATATTGCGGGTAGAATCCAAATACGCGCTCGTTACACACGATCGTTCCGAAAATATTCGAGCGCGTATCTTGCCAACGTGAGAACGTGTCTGCCAGTCCGATGGTATATCGTGCCATCACAGAGACGCGCGACGTCTTCGCGAGCGCGTCTTCGTGTCGCGTATTCGGGGTTTGCGTAGAGGAACAAATAAAAAAAACCCGCGGCAAATAAACGCGAAGGTATACTGAGACGATGAGAGCCGAAAAATGCGGTTGTTAGTCGCGAGTGAAAACTTATGTAACGATGCGCTAACAAGTACGTTTAAAGTAGCGACGTCGGAGGCGAGAAGCGACACGCTGCGAATTCTCGCGTGCCATTTCCACGTAAAAAGGCATTCGCATGTGAGATCGCTGGAGCGTATCCGTGGAAAAATGCTTCTCGCTTGATAATCTATCAACAACCATAAAATGAAACACTGCGCTGTGAAGCCTAGTCACGCGCAATCGCGCATCCGCATGACTCGCAGTCTCGTATTTAGTCATTTTACTAGCAGCTAGCAGCAGCGATTGCGGCTCCTCCCGTCTCTTCACATATTTCGGAGCCGTCGCGGAAAGAGTCGTTGCGCTCTGCATCGCGAGAACTGAGCGAGAAAAATGGTTAATCTCGCCGAAATTACAGTCACTTCCGGCGCCAGCTGTATCTCCCCGCTGTCCTAACGAAGAAAATCGTACGCGCGGCAAAAAGAAAAAGGATTCGTCGGTTCGCGCGTAACTGAATAAGGCACCGGGCGAGAACTCGCCGGCGATATCTCCGTTGGCGCGCGCGGGGTCGAAAAAATGCGGCCGAACACATTCAGCCGCGTTAAAACTCGCGCGGTTGAGGTGGCTCGAAACAACTGAGCGATTAGGAACCTCCGGCGGGAATCTTCCCGCCGCTGCGAGCGAGTTTTCCATTCGGTCCCTGTCTTTCCCGGGCGACGGAAAATTCAGTTACACCCACGGAATTGCCTCTTCCGCGTGATGGTGGTGACGTGTGTGTGTGTGTAAGGTTATTATCACTAACACTGCGGCAACAGTTGCTACAACAAATGGCCCTCCTGACGGGAATTCACGCGCTATGTGCGCGCGCGTTATAGCTGCAAATACCAAACACTTTTTTCCTCCTCGCAACGCGGGCCGCGGTTATATCGCGCGCGCGCGCGCGCGCGCGGGACAAACAACACGCGCGCTAGTCGCCGTATTAGCATTTGCGCATGATGAGCGCGCGACATGTCCGGCCCGAGCTGGACAAGCAAGCGCGATAGAATCAAGCCTGCATTGTAATGAAAGGGGAAGGCGGGCGGTGAAAGCCGGCAATGACTATATCAGGCGGGGTATACAGTAATCCTGGCGAGAATAATTCTGAAACAGGAAAGCGGAGGAGTTGGGATACTAGACCACATCAAAGCCCGAGCTAATGATGTCGAAAGCTTACTAATTACTCCGCGCAAACCTACGTACGCTCAGTTCGTGGCGCTCGGCGCATCGTGAATGCATCATGGGAGATGTTCGCGTATCGACCGAATTCACTCGTATGAAACTTTTGGGGATTCTGCCGATTCAATTCGTGCCGGTTCAACGGCCGGGACCGCGCGCGCTCGCGTCTATATTCGCAGCATAATTTTCCCTCTCTCGCGGATACACGCATATACGTAAAACAAAAAAGGAATACATAAGCGCGCGGGGCGCACGTGTTACACGCGATTTAACACGCGTGACTCTCGATCGTGCCGTTATCGCAGTGGCAGCGTTAGTGCATTATTCGGATCACCGTTTTTCGTGTCGCCCCCCGGACTTTTATTTTCAATGATTTCCTAATGCGCGCGCGACACGAAAATACAATATACCGCAGATTCCGGCGAAATTATCCCGCTGCGAGGAATCCTGATTTTTATCGAAATCGCCGTAACACGGTGAGCGCGTGAAGATGATTTCGCACTTATTGCAACCACAGTGCCAACGCAACGCGCCGGTGTGTGTAAAGCTGGCCGAGGCTACATTTTTAATGCGATAAGTGTCGTTTACGTTGTAAATCCCGTTAAAACGGCGTTTCGCACTTTTTTTTGTTTCGCCGCCTGAACTTCCGGAGAAGTCGGTAATTTTATATGAGGAAGGATATTTTATATATATATATATATATATACTTTATTGAATCGCGCAGCGCGTACACTTTTAAACCCGAGTGCCCGAGTTTTACAAACTTAAATAACGAACGGCCTGAGAGAGGAAGGAATTGTGAAAAGCGCGTGAGCGCGCAAAAATTAAGCCCGCTCATTGTTCACGCCGATAAGTACAACGCGTAATTACGTAATAATCCTACGCGTTTCGCCGATACTTTCAGAGCAATCGCTGTTTCTCTCAACAACGTACACATACACACACGCTATCACGCCGTCGAGCCCGCCTTCGTTAACGCCGGCCTTTGACGATGGAAAGACAGGGGAAAAATAAAGTAGAGACAGTGCGGAGGAATAAAATATCGAACTTTCCGCCGACGGATCGTTGGTAAAATAACGCGCGTTATTTTTCTCACGGACCGGAAGCATTTGTATGCCGCCCGTCGCAGCGAAGCTGACTGCGTCTGCGCAAGAGATAAGAATATATCTCGCGCGCGCGAGATTTCATCTCGTCGAGAACGCAATAAAAAAAGTGGCAGTCGGGGCGGCTTGGACCACCTCGTCGTGCAGCAGCCGACAAGCTAATCAGGTGGCGATGAGAAAGCTCTCGCGAGGCACGCATCTTTCAAGTCTAAGGACTCCGAGGACTCGTCGGGCATTCCTTCGCGAATACAGCACGCGCGCTATCTCGATCGACCTGTGTCAGATCCTACGTAATGCCGGCGGCAATGGACTTCGAAATGCATTTACGTACTTTGATCAGGTTCGACGTCCTGGTCAATGGCGGAGGCGCCGTGACGCTTCAATTCCAGCGCAGCCCCTTCATGCCTCTTACGAGGACCGTCTTCGTACCCTGGAATCAGATAGTCGTCCTGCCGCCCGTTGTGATGACCCTCAGCAAGGAAGGCGAATTGTACAAATCCAACCAGCCGCCGAGCCCGGCAGTGGGTAAGCATCGGCTTTCTTTCTCTCTCTTTCTTTCCTTCTTCTCGGTATGTATCGCGGTTTTTCTTTTCGTCCTCGCGACCGGCCACCCGCTACATACCACACATGTATCTCTCGTCGCGTTACTTATCAGCGCCGCAAAGTTTCGCACGTGCTCGGTCAACGCGAGTCCCTCGCACGTGCCGGCGGATAACAAAACGAGCAAGTTCGACGGGGAAGCGTGGCTTCCTCCGAAAATTTCATCGGAAGGATAATATGCGATTGGGGTTAGCCTCTTCCGGCGCGATTGGGGTGTAGCGGTTGCGTTATTTCGCGCGCGTGTCCTCGCTGAAACGCCGCTGATCCCGGAGCTGTTGAACGTGTGTGCCGTCTTTGTTCCGTCCTTGAGTGTTATGCAGTTTTGAGTTTCTTATTATTTATGGAGTACAACATAATAGGCTTCCCAGGAATTTCGATGGGACTATTTAGCGAGCACGGCCCGTGCTTGGAGCACGACCACGAGATACTGCGGCCCGTCATCGTCAGCACGTGGATGCCGGAGAAAGTTGGTGCTTTGCCCGGCAAGAGTCTGGTCTTCGCGGAGAGTCAGGTGAATTTCTCCCTTGGAAACGGTTTCACGCACGCGAAGGAAGTAGGGATTTGAGAAAATGCGAAGTGCGTTCACTTGCGATGGGTACCAAGAACGTACTTGTGGGCAAAAACGCGCCTGACGTGTGCGGACGCGAGCGGTCATAATTTCTTTCTTCTGATCTTTCGTCCGTGGCATTGTTACTGTTCCAGACAGATTCAGACAACCATCCGCGGTATCCACAACCATATTTGTCCAAATATACGTGACAGTTGGGAAGGCTAAAATAGGATTCGCACTTTGAATGCAAGCCACCGTGACGTACGGGCGAATTCTGGAAATTTATACTTGAGGAATATCTTTTACGTCAATCGTCATTATTATCATCATCGTCAATCAATATATATTGTCATTGATGACATTTCTATGAAAATCTATCTAAAACGATCGCAACTTCCGCGAGTTTCCGTTTTCGCTTTTATGCTAATAATATCATACATTATCTTTTTCATCGAGAAAAGATCTCTTTCCAAATTAGAAAATGTGCAAATGTCTCTTAAATCTATAGCTTTCTCTCCGTGAAAACATAAAGTTCGTTCCACATATTAAAAAGAAGAATTGGGATTTAATTAAATACGTTGACGCGACACCCATCGACGCGTCATTCCTTAGATTTTTTTCCCTCGGGGTGACGAAAAACGAAAATCGCACAATCTTTCAAAACTAAAGCCTAGAGATGTGCGAACTGTTCGAATTCGAATCCGAATCCGAATAATTCGAATAGGAATCAAATACATTATCGTTTGCGTACATCAGCTACAAAACGGGCCATCTGGGCCTGTATGTTTGAACCCTTAACTTGTAATTAATTAACTTAACTTATAATTAATAACTTAATCATAAACTACTTCAATATATTTAACAATATATTTTACTTTAAGATGATATTACAACATTACAATATTCCCTTTCATATTAAAATCTTCCATCGTTATTTGCATGTTTAACAGTCATGTTAAATTTTTTAATGATTCGATTCGATTTCATTCGATTCGACTCGAATTCGAATTTAAAAAATGAGATTCGACTCGATTCGATTTGACATCAAAATTCTTGATTCGCACATCTCTACTAAAGCCCTGATCTCAGTCTCGCAAAGATGCGATTTCATCTGGGGCGACGGCTCGAAAGTCGGAAAAATAATGATCGCGATGCAGATGATGTACAATTCGTCATCAACGAATGAGCCTGTAGCGAGAAATGGAAACGAAATCGGAGCGCGGTGTAACAAATCCGCGCAGCCTCGCAATAGAAAGGTGCAGGCGCCACGGCGATGTTTTAACCAGACGTTAAACGTCGCTTGCAGATCGTGCAGGAAAGCATCGCTATTCCGGGCTCAAACCTCCACTTGATGTATCAAAGCAGCCAGGCTGCGGGCTACCTCTCTACCGTGAGAATGCAACTGACTGGGCCGTTCATTCCGAAATCGCTGACGCACGTACACGTGCACGTGGAAATCGAAGGCTCGCTCCATACGAAAACGTACGAGGCCGATCCGAATCTGACGCACACGTTCGCCTGGAACAAGAGGAACGTTTACAAGCAGAAGGTGTACGGTGTGGCGCAGGCGAGGATCTCAATCGGCTATCAGCACTCCACTTGCCCGTCGGTCATATGGGAGACACAGACGGCCACTCTGCAAGGATTCGACGTCGACATCTCCGATATCGGCGGCTGGGGCCTCGATATCCACCACCATTACAACTTCCACGAGGGGATCCTGCAGAAAGGCGACGGCTCAACCCTCCATTTTAAGCAGTACCCGCGCACCGTCAAGGTGGTTATGGGCACCGGCCTGCAGAGGAGCTTGGTGTGTCAGAATTGCGACGGCCTCGCGAAGGACGCCAGGCTTCTCACCCCGGTGGCGCTCACCAGCGGGCCCGACGGCAGCATCTACGTCGGGGACTTCAACCTCGTGCGCCGGATCACGCCCGAAGGAAAGATCTACACCGTCCTGATCCTGAGGTATTCTGAGAAATCAATAGCGGAGGTTGAGAGAGCTAATAAGGTCCTAGCAAGACGTCGATACGCGCGGAACTCGTTAGATTCACGGATAAAATAAGAATCGGGGTGTCGAACAAACTCCTCGAAGACTCAACGGAAATCCTTGTAGAATTCTTGTTGAATTACCCGAAAATTAATGCACAGCAATTACTCGAAGCATACTTCAAACATGGCGGAAGTCCGATGTATGTAATTCGCGTTAAATTTTTCTGAGTTTTTCTACCGAGGTGGGTCCAGACTCTTTCAGGATCTTTCAGGACCCGTTCGACACCTGATTTGCGGATCTAATGAGCTTCGATATATCTCGCGCGGACTCTTGCTGGCTTTTCCAAGCCAGCTGCCGTTGATCACGCGGATCTGTGCAGCTTTGATCCTTTATTATTTAGTTCACATCCTCCGAGTTTTGCGAGTTCCGCGAACTGCGCTCGACCGACACCGCAGGACTCGCGCTGTCCATCGTTGGACACGCGACTCGAGCGCGCGCTATATCGAGTCCTTTAACGATCTCTTGCAGCGCGACTCAAGTGGCGTATCAGTACTACTTGTGCATCTCGCCGGCCGACGGCCACTTGTACATCAGTGATCCGGAGAAGCATCAAATATTGAAAGCCCTCTCATTGGAACAAGTCCAAGACCCCAGCATCAATATCGAGTCTGTCGTCGGAAGCGGCGAGAGGTGCATTCCAGGCGACGAAGGTCACTGCGGTGACGAAGGCCCGGCCATCCATGCGAAGCTGGCTCATCCCAAAGGTAAAATAATGGCAAATTCGCGTGTGCGCTCTGTCAAGGTAATTTCGAGTGACGTCACGAGATCACGAGCTCACGTATTGGATTGCCTGAGAAGAACCGATCGCTCTTTGATGGTGTCTTGTGTGGTATTCTGTGAGTTATTTTCGATCAACGCCTTGATTTGGCCATCATCCGCGGCCGAAGGTCTTCAACGCTCCGCGTCAAGGTGAAAATTACCCGCTTTAAAGTAAGCGAACCACTTCCGAGCGGTTGATGAGCAATGGCCTGCCTACGCCTGCGTACCCTCTACCAATTTTTCCGTCGTCTGTACGGCGTTTTGTTCCGTCGACTGCGGTGGAAAAACATCACATGCTGAAAATGTACCTTCTTATCTTCCATCTCCGCGACTCGGTAACAACGCGCAAACTCAACCGATCCCGAGCAAACATTAAGTCCGCTCGTTTTCGAGGAACTTCCAAACTAGTGCGATAAGTTAGAACGAAACAAGTATACTTTCTTTCACTCCGACTTATTGCACTAGTGCGCACTAGTTCAGAAGTTCCTCGAAAACGAGCGAACCTATTTACTAGCTGACGCGTTGAGATGCCACTTTTCAAACGATCTATACGCGTTCGTACACTTTCAATCACTTTGACAGCTTACGCGACGCTCATAGCGAGACACGTGTTGAAGCCCGTACGAATTTGTCGGGCGACCTGATACATCGCGTCCGCGAAGTAACCAACGATACGAGCGCAACCGAGAGCGACGGCCCTTCACGTTCCGTCATCCACAGGAATCGCAATCGCGGCCGACAAAACGATGTACATCGCCGACGGAACCAACATTCGCGCGGTTGATCCCCGCGGCATCATTCACACGCTCGTGGGACACCACGGCCATCACAATCACTGGTCTCCGGCACCCTGCACCGGCGCCATTCCCGCGCACCAGGCCCAGCTGCAGTGGCCGACCGGGTTAACCCTGAGCCCGCTGGACGGATCTCTGCACTTCATCGACGACCGGCTGGTGCTGAAGCTCACGAGCGACCTGAAGGTGCGCGTGGTTGCTGGCACGCCTCTTCATTGCACCAGCAGTGCCAACAGCAACGTCAACGGCAACGGCGAGCTGCCGAAGTTGAACTCGTCGATTACGGTGAACTCGAAGAAGTCGGACGAGGTGCTGGGCTCGGTGTTGGCCGTCGGCTTCAGCCCAACCGGCGAGCTGTACATAGCCGATCGCGACTCCCACCGGGTCAACTCCATCAGGATCGTCGACTCGTCCGGGAAAATGTCGCACTTTGCCGGCCAGCAGCAAGAGAGACTGCGCGGTCAATGCGAGTGCAACAATACGACACCCAGCACCAAGGACATGGATGCGTGCGCCTGCACGGACGACATCAGTAGCACCGAGACACTTCTGTCGTCAAACGCCAAGTTCACCGCGATATCCGCGTTGGCGGTGTCGCCGGACGGGGTCCTGCACGTGGCCGATCAAGGTAGCCTCCACATCTTGGCTCTCCAGCCGTATCTGCCGAATCACGACGAGAGCGGGGAGTTCCACATCCCGTTCCCACCGTCGAACGAGGTCTACGTGTTCAATCGTTATGGCCAGCACACCTCCACGAAAGACCTGACGTCTGGCAAGACCCGCTACTCCTTCTTGTACAGCAAGAACACGAGCTTCGGCAAGCTGTCCACGGTGACGGACAGCGCGGGCAATAAGATCCAGTTCTTGCGGGACTATAGCAGCGTCGTCAGCTCCATCGAGAACACTCAGGACCACAAGTCCGAGCTGAAGATCTCCGCGGTCGGCTTCCTGGAGAAGCTGTCCGAGCGCGGCAGGGCCGAGATTGCTTTGGGATACGACGGCTCGACTGGACAGTTCCGTCGATCGGGGGTAAGATGGAAATTTTGCAAATCTGCTCGGTTGATCACAAGTGTCATTTGCATCAAGCTTCGTATTTTTAACGTATTTTTTGCAAGAATTTTTTGAATGCGTCTTCTCGCTCCCAACGTCACGTAAATAATGAAGATGGCGATGAAACAGGAGCCTCAATTGAACAAATGTATCTGATCAGTCAAAAAGTTCGCTTCAGTTTTCTGCTTGTTCTCTAGTGACAGGAAAGTATACTACACGTAACCGCCGAGGCGTTGGCGAAAGATTGTAAACAACAAAACGGCGATCACTTGATCTATTCCCGTTGAATGCAATCAGAACAAATTCGACTCACTCGATAACGTTTTATTACGAATTTTAGGGAGATGAAACGTACATCTACAATTACGACGGCCTGGGACGCGTCACCGACGTAATTCTGCCCACAGGCGAGAAATTGAAGCTGTCGTCGGACTTGTCCGACGACGAGGATCTGTCGGTTAAAGTATCCGCTCCGCTGCAGGCCCTATCGAAGGGTGACAAGCAGCGATCCGTGGAGTTTAAGATGAAGAATGAAAAGTCCAAAATGTTGACAATCACCGATGGTACGTACTTGAATTATTTGTTTGTTATTCAATTGTTACGCTTAACGCTTAATCTGTCATTTGTTACATTTTAATCTATTATTAAGAAAAGTTCCCCGTGCGTTTTTTTCTTTTTTATCCTATGTTTTACAGGAGAACGATATTAACAAGAATAATATCGTTCTATCCAATCTATAACGTTCAACTCTTTGTTTGCAGGTACCAAGATGATGAAAGCGATCGCATTTACAAACAGCAGTTTGGAAGCCTTCCTGCCGGGTGGCGGCAGAGTGTTGAGCGCGGCCACGACGAAGCATCCACTGCTGGAAGTATCGCTGCCAGTGGAGGCGGAGATGCTGCCTATGTGGAGCTATCAGTTGATATCGCTGGGCGAATTAACGAATACCATGACGACGACGTACAATCTGGTCGGGGACGTGAGCCACTTCCAGCAAACTCTCAACAGAGAGATCTGGGTGAACGACACGAGGGTCATAAGCGTCGAATTCGAACAGGCGTTCAGCCGCGAGACGTTCTACGACAAAGCAGGCACACCCTTATTGACGGTGACCTTCGATCTGGCGGGACTGCCATTAGTTTGGCAACCGCACGAGCAAGGCCACAACTTCAGCATAACGTACGACCGATTCAACAGAATCGAGAGCTGGAAGTGGGGCATATCCGACGAGTCCTACGGCTACGACCGTCATGGCCAATTGGCGGAAATCACTAACAGCAAAGATGGCACGAAACGATATACCTACAACGACTTCAACATACTGTCGAAGATCACGCTGGCCAGCAACAGGGAGTTCTCGTTACAATACGATGATGACGGTGGGCTGCGACACATCATCCTGCCCTCGGAGACCAAGCACTCCTTCTCCTGTCAAGCTTCTCTCGGCTTCCTCAGGGTCACGTACACCCCGCCCGGCAGCACGAGAGTATATCTGCAGCATTATAGTCACGACGGGAATCTGCTTCAAACCGTATTCCCGGGAGACGGAGCTCGCATCGTCTATCGATACCACACGTCGGGTCAACTGGCGGAAGTGGTTCACGGGGATGGCAAGAGCGAGATCAGATACACCGACAGCGGATTGCCCTCCGAGGTGATACACTCCGAGAGGGACGTGGAATACAAATGGGACTATCAATATAGCGCAGGGCTCTTGGTAGAGGAGCGCATAGATTTCGGCGCCAAGACCGGCTTGAGCAACGCCAAGTTCACCTTCGAGTACGACTCCAACTTCCGGCTGGTCGCGGTGCAGGGTAGAATAGGCGGGCAGACCTTGCCGCCGCACACTATGGCTTACAGCACGAGGTCGGGCACGTTGGAGCAAGTCGGCCAGTTCAAAGTGACGCGGCCGCAATCGAACGAGACGACCGTGTTCGACGGAACCGCGCTGTTCTCGCGTACCACAGACGACAGGTTCCTGGAAACCGAAGTCACCGTGACGATCCATCGCATGCAAGTGTTCAGGATGACGTTCACTCACGACTCGCGCGGCCGCATCAATCAAACGAGGACATATACGCGCAACGTCGCCGTCAACACGTACACCAATGTGAAGAATTACACGTGGGATTGCGATGGTCAACTGACCGGTGTGGAGGCCCAAGAGCCTTGGGGTTTCAAATACGACGCCAACGGTAACATGCTGTCGCTCACTTACCGCGGTAACACGATCCCGATGGAATACAACGCGATGGACCGGATAGTCAAGTTCGGCGACGGCCTCTACAAATACGACAACAGGGGTCTGGTGGTGCAGAACGCGAGAGAGGAGAGATTTAATTACAACGCCAAGGGACTGCTCGTGCGCGCCACCAAGCGCGGCCGCTTCGACGTGCGATACTATTACGACCACCTGGACCGCTTAGCCACGCGAAAGGACAATTACGGCAATGTCACGCAGTTCTTCTACAACAACCAGAAGCGCCCGCACGAAGTGAGCCAGATATACAGCCCGCGTGATGGTAAACTGATGTCGTTGGTGTACGACGACCGGGGACATCTCATATTCGCGCAAGTGTACCGTCACAAGTACTACATCGCCACTGATCAATGCGGTACGCCCATCATGATCTTCAATCAGTATGGAGAAGGCATCAGGGAGATTATGCGCTCGCCCTATGGCCATATCGTTTACGACTCCAACCCCTATCTATACCTGCCGGTTGATTTTTGCGGCGGACTCTTGGACCAGGTAAATGAAACTTTTTATGGATCCGTTAACATCCCAATTTATGAAACATGACGATAGACAATAATAAGACGACAACAAGGTAATGATTAAAAAAACTGCAGCGAAACAAGACAAAATGATGACATAATCTTGTGTCTATAATTATTGATCAGTCAAGTCTTTGGAGTCAAGTCAGTCTCAGAATCGAAGCGCATGCTTCTCATCATATTTTAACGTTGTGACTCGCTTTCCAGGTGACGTCCTTAGTCCACATGCCAAACGGGAAGGTTTACGATCCACTGATCGGCCAGTGGATGTCGCCGCTATGGGAGAACGTCCTGGACAGGGTGGATAAGCCAACGCACCTACATCTGTATAGGTTCAACGGGAACGATCCGATCGACATCAGGCACACAGATAGACCGAGTCAACCGACTGGTAGGTGTCTGTTGCGACATTATTGACGAATCAGCTTGCATCGTTCGATACTTGACGCGCTCTAATCTAATTCCAGATCACATATCATGGCTGTCGCATCTCGGGTATGACCTGAAGAGCTTGGCGCCGCAATTATTCCCGGACGAGCTGCCGAACAGTCTCGTACCGCCGGCGCTCGGCCCGGGCACTTCCATATTCGGCAAGAAGAAGCGAACGCGCAACTTGGGCGTCCAGTCTGGCTTCCTCGCGCACATCGCCCAGAGGCACTCCGGCGATGCCGCAAGCCTGTCCGCGCCGCCACGGTCGGCCCTGAAGAAAGACACGAGCGAGTTGATACCCAGCCGCCTGGGTGCGGCGTCCGACCCGCCGTTCGGCAAAGGCATCCTGGTCTCAAGAACCGCCGACGGTCAAGCGGTGGTGTCGAGCGTGCCGACCGCCAACGCTATCTACGGCGACGTATTCACGTCCGTGTTCAACCGCTCGTACTTCTTGCCGTTCACGTTTGTCGTGCACAGTGCGCAGCAGGACGCATTCTACTTCGTGAAGGAGGAAACCTGGCGGGCCAGCGAGGACCGCGGCCAATTGAAGCGGCTGGGTGGTCAGGTGAACACGACCTTCCACGAGAACGAGAACGGCAGCGGCAGCAGCAGCAGCTCGCTGATCGACGTGAAGATACACGGCGCCAGCTACGTGGTAAATCTGCGTTACGGCACGACGGCGGAGAAGGAGAAGCAGCGGCTTCTGCATCACGCGAAAACGAGCGCGGTGAGGAAGGCTTGGCACCGGGAACGCGAGGCGCTCAAGGCTAACATACCCACGTCGATCGAGTGGATGGCCACGGAACAGGATGAGATACAGAAGAACGGTATCGCTAACAATTACGACGGCGAATACATACACGACGTGCAGCAGTACCCCGAGCTCGCGGAGGACCCGTACAACATCAGGTTCGTGAAGAAGGCTGTGGACCAGTCGAGTAAGAAGCGACGCAGGAGGAGAGGTGCGCCGTCCTGTAAGCTCTGGTGGTTGGATAAGATGTGCTAGAGAACGTTCATACGTCGTTGGCACCGAGTCAGTCGTACCCGTCCCCTTCGCGTGGGGACATTGTCCAGTCCGAGGCCGCGCAAACTTTCGACTAAGCGACAACCGAAGCAACGAGCGAACGAGAAAGAGTTAGAGAGGGAAAAAGAGAGAAAGTGGAGCAGAGAGAGACGGCTGAAGAGAGAGGGTCAAGGTCGAGCCGCTGCAGCACGCGCGCAGCGTCTCTCTGTATATGCACGCGCATATATATAAACGTACTGAATACTATCAAAAAGTTTTATACCAAAGTCTATTTGTGTATTTCAAAGATGCCAAAAACACTATAACGTTATTATATATGTCTACGTGTGTGTGCGTTTGTAGTGTGTATATGCATCCACACACGTGTACACATATATATTATAAATATATATACACCGCGAGATAGGGTATAGTGTGTAAGAGCGTTAAACACGCGGAAGAACGCGGGTTACCAAGCATTCACTCCACGGACCAGCTGTGCGACCGAAATGTGACTGGCAGATCCGCGAAAGCCTTATAGCGACAAAGAGAAAGAAAAAGAGAGAGAGAGAGAGAGAGACAGACAGAGAGAAACGAAGAGAGAGAGAGAGAGAGAAGGAAGAAGAAGAAGAAGAAGAAAGAGGGATAACCGGGAGAGAACGTATACCCGATCCCGAGACTGCGAATCTGGAGAGGGCGGAGACACAGCGAGATCTTCTCGGAGATTCGGCGTGACGTTGACGCAGCTGGAGCTCTTCTTCAGCAGCTCGCAGATTCGGATGCAATTCGAATTCCATGGGTACGTTCGCAAGGCCGGCAAGCTCGTCGAGCTTGCGCTCGAGGCCTAAATAAACGGCGGACCGTGGCACCGCGCGCACACGTCGTACACGCACTCGCGACGGTACACGTCGCATTAACGCAGGTAACTATAGATAAATATATATATGTATGTATAACGCAAAAGAAAAGAAAAGGAAAAAAAAAAAGAGCGGGAGAGAGAGAAATACGAGAGAGGCGAAGAAGTGGCGAGAGCAGAGGAATCGGAGAACCGGCCATTCGTCGTTGAGGGCGAATCGAGTGAGAGAAACTAGTCAATACATAGCTTTACATTGACGTAGCAGCCTTCTTCGTGGTGTAGGGTAAAAACACGAGGAAAGAGTGCGGAGAGCCAGGAGAAGTGACCTCGTTAAACGTTACGATGACGCGGACGCTACGTATGTGTTCGCCCGGCCGGACCCGTTGACCCGCGCGCGATACTTGAAGAACGTCGTACTTAGACGCTCGCGAATCTCGACGTCGGCTTACTTATCGGAACAGTGGATACCGGCCGCCCGGCAGCGAATGCGGGACGCGTCTCAACAATGAATGGCCCCCGTGCAGGAAGGTAGTGAAGGAAGACGCGGATTCGAAGGAGGAGCGGTCCTCTCGATGTCCCCCGAAGAAGAGCGGCGATCGTGCGGACTCGATCGTGCGGTCTCGAGCTTGAATTCCGTTCGCGGCTTAGACAGTTAAGGACGAGACGAATTTGTATTATAAAGTGGTGCTTTTCTTGTACGAGCGAGCGAGCGAGCGAGCAAGTGAACGAGAGGGAGAGAGCGAGAGAGAGGGAGAGAGAGGGAGAGAGAATGTGAGAGAACGAGAGAATGAGGGAGAATGAGAAAGAGTGAGAGAGGAATCGCTGAGAGGCGATAAGTGGCGACAATGTGCGTGCATGAAGACGTCGACTACCAATAGCGAGACTAAACATATTTTTAACATGTGGATGTGTCCTACCTGTAGCGTAAGCGTTCCCGATCGTCGCCGGTCGGTAATTTATATCGCATTGTCGTGTGCGAGCGCGAAGGGGAGAGAGATAGATAGTCGCTCGACGGGATCGACGGTAGGAATCCCGTGATGGGGTAAAACGCGAAGGAACGGAAGTAGAGAGCGTATCAGCCGATGTCTGCGTATAAGCCGGAAACGAGGAAAACGAGGGAAGGCATAAAGAAGTCATTATCGGTAAAATAATACGTATATACATTATCGCATATTTGTGCTTGCTGGATATGAACGTAACGAACGTTAACTATGTTTCCTCATCGAGAATAACTAAATGTGTATCCAAAATTACTGTCCGCCAAGTACCGAATCGTTTCGCCGTATACGCGTGCATGTATGTATGCGCCGATTGCTCGCGCATGGAACCCACATGCGTCGTACCATCACCACCGCCATCACCACCACCACCACCACCACCACCACCACCACCACCACCACCACCATAACCACCACCACACCCTAACGTCGAGAGGGTCCTTTTCGTTACATCACTCGCCACCTCCGGCCGATCCTTCTGTTCCTACTTCCTCTCGCTCACCCCCGCCCTTCCCACCCTTCCCCCAAACCGCTCTTGTTCTCTTCCCCGCAGACTTCTCCGCGAAGATCCCGAATATATCGCGCGTCACGAGTGATTTTTGTTTGTTTGCTCGCGTCCTCACGAGTGTTCGTACTTGTCATTGATATTTTGCAAGCGCGGCTTTAGAGGCGACGCCGTTTATGGATAGTTAGTGGCACGATACATTGCTGTCTGAATAGATGAGGAAAAAAAATACCGTTATTTATATGCTGCGTGTGTAAAAGAGGTAATGAGTGAGTGAGTGAGCGAGTGAGAGTGAGAATGAGAGTGAGAGTGAGAGTGAGAGAGAGAGAGAGAGAGAGAGAGAGAGAGAGAGAGAGAGAGAGAGAGAGAGAGAGAGAGTGAAAGAGAAAAAGAGAAAGGGAGGGAGGGAGGGAGAGACAGAAAGACGAAGAGAAAAAGTGTATAGAGATAGGAAAACTTCCTAACATATTTTTACTCGAGCGAGTGTTTAGACCTATACCACTCAAACAACGCGAAACTCTGAGAGGCGTCTGAGAGAGATGTCCGAGGGATAGCCGAAAAATCGGAACGTCTTTTTCCGACGCCTGGGATATCGATTGGGATGTGCTTCGGGCGTCTTAGCAGTTTGTCTCGGGCCACACGGTGCCTGTGTGCGCGTATGTGTGTATGTGTGTGCCTGGGCAATTCTAAATCGCGGTCCAAAACGAGCTCCAATTCGAGATACGCGCGTACTCGTGCCGACGAAGCCACCAGGGCGATCCTTTTTGTACATTTTTCCCCGTCGCGCGGAATTCGCTGAACCCATCTCGCGCCGTCGAAACTACTCCCGCGCGCGCAGCTTCTTTCGCGGACGAGCTGAATCGTCGAGCTGAAAAACCCTCCCTCGATCATCCGACGGACGGAAACTGGGACCGGCTAATTGCGAAACAACCTTCCGCAAAAATTCGACCCCTGTCAAGTCTCAATCTGTAAAGCTCCACTCGGCACCTCGATTCGGTTTTCCCACGAGCAAGCCGTCTTCACGTTTCACGATCACGTCATTACCGTCGCGCGTACGCCACGATTAATTCTGCTTTGACGATCGATAATTACGACGGAAATAGCACCGGCCAACGTCTCTCGTTTATCTCGACGACAGAAACAGCGAAAGTGATCTCGGTCGGTTTCCTAAGGGTTTTGGCTCTCTGCAGACGGAAGCGGAGTAAAAGTGCACAGCTTCGAGATTTATCAACATCAACACTCACTGCCCCTCCCCGACCAGTTAGCTCCTACACACACCTGTCCACTGCCTCTTATACACGATAAACAAATGAACACACACACATACACACACACACACACACACATACACACACACGTACGTACGAACTAATAAACAAGCAAACACACACAAGCATACACTCTTGATTTTCAACCGTATTACCCGCCGTTGGGCCCGGCAACGGTGCATTCAAGAAGAATTAATTATTTTTAAATATCACGTGTCAAATTAACGAGTGGGTCGAATAGTCGCGACGTGTCGTGCGAACAGAAACGGGGAGCCCCCACTCGACGAGAGACCCAACTGTCTCGCGATTATAATATTAGGAAAAGGAATTCGCCCGCTAACTTCCGTGAAGTTTCATCTCGTTTTTGCGAACTCGTTCCAAACTCGTTCGGCCCCCGCGGGCGGTCGCGAGGGGCTGCGACAAATATTCCATGTACTTCTCTAAATAAAAATGAAGTAGAGCGCGCGAAGAGAAAAAAATAATTATATAAGATAAATAAATAAATGAATAAATAAATAAATAAATATATATATATGAATATATTGAAAGGAAATATATACATACACACGAGAGAAGCTAGAGTGGCCAATTATAGCAGTAACTGTCGATCCACGCATTACGGCGTGATTGGTTCTCGAGACGCGCGATTTCGGGCTCGAAGGCGACTAACATGTCGATGAAAAAGAATCAGAATTCCGTAAATGTGGCGGATATTGAGGATATTAGGCGCGAGTGTGCAAGAGAGAGATAGAGGGAGACAGAAAGACAAAGAGAGACAGACAGACGGACAGACAGAGATAAAGAGAAAGAGAGAGTGAGAGTGAGAGTGAGAATGAGAGAGAGAGAGAGAGAGAGAGAGAGAGAGAGAGAGAGAGAGAGAGAGAGAGAGAGAGAGAGAGAGAGAGAGAGAGAGAGAGAGAGCATATGAGTATGAGAGTAAGCGAGCGCGAGAGAAACAAAAGTCAGCCACGCTAAAGCTACTACGACCACTACCCTAGATAGATTACGCTACTTTGCCGCTGATCTAATTGTTTACTGTCACGTGTTGCTGTAAACCTAACTATACGATATTATATATATTTTATTTATATAACCTAATCGAGACTGTATTTATTGTAAATAGTCACGATGTTTGCTATGATATAATATATCTGTAATTGGATGGAACCTGCCTGGAACTGCGCCCAACCCTGTTCCCCCCCGCAATTATATATCCATACATACCCGCACATACATACAACATGCGCACACACTTACACACAAACAAACACACACACACACACACACACGATACCGCTAAGAAACACTCGCGCAGACGCGCACCCATTAAATACATACACACGTACACGCGAATATAAAACACGCGCATACCGTATCTAATATCTATGCGGTGTCGATTGCCGCGCAACCGTTTAGCGATAACTTAGAGATGACGATAAACGGAGAGAAAAAGACAGAGATGTATTCGCTCGCGCGCTGAATTATCATTATGTCAATATTTCGTATCGCATTGTCGGGCGGTCGATTCTGTGTAAAACGCTCGCGAAGCGTCGCGCTGTATTTTACTATAGAGAGGAAAGGAAACTCGAAGAGAAAGAGAGAGAGAGAGAGAGAGAGAGAGAGAGAGAGAAAAAGAAAAAGAGAAAAGGAAGGACTTATACCCGTCATTCGATCAAACCTAGTTCGGACGCTTCCGAGGACGAAAGTGTTACGATGGCCACGAGTGATTTTTATAAATGTATTTTTTCGCCCCTGCATGGTGTGTGTGCGCGTGTGTATCGTGTGTGTATGTGTATGCGTGTGCTTCGTATGTGTGTGTATGTGTGTATACGTGCATCGCGCGCGCGCGTGTGTGTGCTGAGAGAACACACCCCGATTCGATGATCATTGTAGAAGCGCCGGAATGAGAGAGTGAGAGTGACAGAAAGAAAGTAAGGGTATAAAGCGAGTGAATGAGTGAATGAGTGAACGGCTGAATGAAAAAGAGAGAAAGAGGGAGGGGGAGGGGGTAAGAAAGGAGAGAGAAGTGAGTAATTTATGGATTTTCCACTTGAACCACTGCCACGCAGCAGACAGCGTCACGACCCAACCAGCATGTCCAATAAACTTACAATATTGCTATCTTAAGTACAATATATTAAGTGTTTTCAGAAAATATATGATCTATATATGATAATAAAAAACACACGGGAAAATGTTTTCTACCCGTTTTATCATTTATTCTTCTAGCTCATCGACACTCGCAATGTCTGCATCATCCTGCCTTGAATAACGCATGCTTGAAATGTTTCAAGCCAATATCGGCCGAAAAAGTTTATAACAATCTCGCCTAAAAATAGCTCTGATTAGAAGGGACCTAAATACTTTGTCTCTCTATACAGGATTTATCGTCCTCTAAACTGCCATCTACAAAAGATTAGAAGGCGGAAGACAAATTTAAATTGGTCGATGTTCAATGTTTCAATGTTTTACTGTTCAATGAACTACTGTTTTAATGAGTTGAAATATTCACAAAGACAAATTTACGATGGACGCGATACTAACCTAAAGGACAAATCAGATATTTGCAGATATTTGATACTTTGTTACTTCTAAGATACTCCAAAGAGGACTCCAGAATATAATACTCTGGAAAAATCGACCAGATAAGTTGACCATTCAGAGTAAGAAAAAGGGACGTGCAAGTATAAACTCATGTTTAGAGGATAAAAATGGATCCGTATTAACTGATTTATGAAAAAAATAAGGCTTATTATCATAAAATAAGGTTATTATCATAAATTAGGATATTGGCACATTATATACTAATTGAAACGTTCTCCTTAGAGACAAGGCTGGCGAAAGACAGTGAACGATCATTTATCAGAAAAGGCGAAAATTCCAGAAATGACGCGAAAATTTACCGAAGATGAGCGAGATGAAGCTCTAGAATAAAACCAGAAGGAGAATTAGGAGACAATTAGGTAAACAGTGGATATTGCGCTCTCGAATTTTCAAGTTATTGAGTTATTGAAGTATATAAACAGTGATTTCAAAGACTGAGCTAACCAGTAACCGAACAAACGAGAGAAGCACAACATCTGAGGTCAATCACGACGCAGGAAATATCGAATTGAAAAATCACGTAAACACAAAATATCATCAATGTTACAATGTCAACTAAATCATATAATATGTTACATAACAGTTGCTTTGTTATATAACAACGGTTACATAACTTACCGTATGATTTAGCTGACATTGTAACATCGATGATACTTTGTATTTACTGGGTATTCGCGCGCGAGATTTAGCTGAGGAACCGACGTCTTGGTTGGCTGTCGAGTATAGATTTTACGGTATATTTAATGAATTTTAACGTATATCTTTTTGAAAATTCTCAAAATTCTGTAGGACAGCTTGATTGAAATAGCCAATCAGTATATAGTTTTTTTTATTACTTTGGCTCCTATAAACTGCTGTCACAACATTAAATAAACTCACGCCGAGAATTTGCGGTCACCGTCGCAACGAACATTGCAATCGATATTATAACTAGTGTAGAGTATACTTTATATATTTGCTCAAACACTTCTCTTTCCATTTGGCAGAACAAGCCATTATTATCTGAAAGATTTCTCAATTAATAATATTAATATTTACGTGTCTATATATAATGATACTTTCATTTCCTCTTTTACACATTTTCTAATAGATATTCGACCACACAAATTTTGTTCGAAATTTCGAATAAATATGACTAGATAACCAAAATAAATCTGAAAGTAAATCACATATACTTTATAATCGACTATTACAAGTGTCTGAAGCAAGATTACACCGCAAATCCAAATATGTTATTTTAATACACATAAACGTGTAATTAGCTAAAGTTTTTTTTACTTATCATATTTTATCGTTCATGAAAAATCTTATCGTTCATACGATTTGCTATCTGATTTCTTTCAATTATATGATCATATTTATTAGAAATATCTGTATAGAAACATCTCCGTGATAAAATATCTGTTCAAAGATAAACAAAATAGAAAAAAAAGAACAAGAAGAATATAAACAAATGTTAGCTGAAAGGAAAATGTTTGTTTTTCTAGAATAAAAGAGACGTGATGAGTATATATAATTCGTTGGTTAAACCTCAACTTCAGTCTCATTCTCTATATTCGTTTCACACGTTCTTAATCTAATAAATTTTCAGTCAATTTCTGCTGAAATTGTGAATATTTATTTAAAAATTGTTTCATCCTTTGTTGTAGGTAAATATATTAACATTCGCGCTAAAATGCAGAAGATAAACAAAGCTGCTCGTAAGTTTCGCATCACAGATGAGGGGACGATAAATGTTTACGAAAATGACACCGTGGCAAGATATGATACAGGGATAGATACTGACTCCATTGTTGTTAGCAAAGAGCCATTAGAATCAAGCGAGATTTTCTTTATAGAAATAGAAAAAACAAATGTTTCGTCTTATTCTGCTGAAGTCTTTGGAAAAATGCAATTTGATCTTATTGATCGTTTTAATGAAGACGATGAATTTGTTATAACATATTTAAACGATAATTGTTCGATATTTAAGCAACAACCTTGTATATTAAAACAGTCACCGAGTAAGTATTTACTAATTAACTATTCAGAGCTTTAACTATTTAAATATTTGTGTTCTGACTATCTTCATTGCTGATTGTATATTTTTAAGACATTTTAAATTAATCTCTTTGGTATATTATTATCTACATATTTGTAAGTGCTGCCGTAAAACTAGATCAGTCACATCTTTGAAAAACTTATTAAAATTTTTGCACCTACTCAATACACATACGTATATATCATGCATAATATCATTGATAAATTATTCATTAGATATAAAATTATTCATTATTCATTAAATTATTCATTAAATATAGACCCATATACATAATAAGCCAACGCAGCCAGAATTAGTGACACATAATGTACCCCTGAATTATATTGTATATTGTTATTTATTGTTCAAGGAGACGTTTACAATGGTCTAAAAAAGGTATTGAAGTATAATATGATACGGACACCTTATCTTAATAGTCTTCTTCCAACTGTGTACCAGCACTTCCTTGGTTTCGAAAATTGGGAACAACTTACGACATTACTTGGTCATCGTATAGGCATCTTTTACTTATATTTCACTGACACGCAGTATATTTTCATGTACTTGATGTCTAGAAATGGTGTCAGCTTAATCTCCTATCCCCACCCTACGAGCAGACCAAAATACTTGTTGATATCATTGGGACGTATAATAAAGCAAATTCGGTCGCTACCGTTATATACCGGTAAGCATTTAACAGAGAACGGGGTTAAACAACTCCAGGTGTATATTGTTTATGTGCTTTGTTTATATATTTATCGTGACAAGAAATATGAAGACAAAATCTTTAAATAATCCTTTTAGATCATAAATATATTTTTTAAGCTTTATTGAAATCGAAATAATGTTACTGTTAAAAATAAAAATAAATAATTTAGAAGCAATTAAGTAAATTTTTGAACGTGTCGACATTTCGTATTAATATTCTCCATCGCGAATGAATAAAGTTGAGTGGTCTTTTATTAATTAGGATGAAGTGCTTTGCAAATATGTGTGACTGTTTTACACTGTTTTATATAATAGAAACAACATTCATTCATAAAATGACTGACAGAGACTGAAAGAGATAAATTCGATTCATAATTAAGCTTAGTTCAATATCTAATGTACCTAACTGATATAAAAAAAACCGTATACCATAATACTTGAAGAAATCGCAGCGGAACTAACTTGTAATTTTTTAATTTTGACACATCCAGCCACACAATTTCCATTATATTATGTCGACGCGCTAAAGTCGAAGAGCCGATCTTTTTTTACTTACACATTTCTGTATTTCCACAGTACCATCTTTACAAGGCTTATGTCAAGAAGTTATTTTCAAGTGCATAAGAGCAAACGGAGCATTGACCAAAAGAAGTTTAGAGAATCTGCCATTACCAAGCGTCATACTGGAACAACTTTTAATTCATGCAGAGTAAAGAACACGCAGAAAATCAAAGATTCGACCTGGCAATCGAGTCTATAAATCAAAACGCAATAATATCAAATGTATGCTTGAACAATGCACATGATTCTCTCAATGCCTCAATGCCAGTCGTTATCATTCATTTAAACTTGAACTTGGACAACGATCAACTATAGGATGTTTCATGTAAAAGACACGCAGTGTAAGGAATTCAATATATGATAGACAAAATTAATACGGAAAATAGACAAACATGTTGATTCGAATAAAAAATTGGGCATGTTTGTCAATCAATATAATTTTTTCCGTGATTTATAATAATATAACATAAAAAATTGTTCACATAATATTTGATAATCGTGAGTCGTCTTTAAAAATTCTCACAGTTTTGTAATTTAATTATATACTAAATAGAATCTTCATATAAATTGGGTATTCATCGATCGATAAAATCCGGTCGATGAAAAACACTCGCAACTGAAAAAATATTGTCCCATTAGATTAGATTAATACAATCTATCCACTTAGTATATGTATAGAGTGTCAGAAAATTACTGTTTAGTATATTTATTTTGTTAATGACTTTGTTATAAACAATGAGCGCGGGCTAAAACTTTCAGAACATTACTCAGGGTGATGACCTTGATAACATATGTGAAAATCATTGAAATCGGGAAGTGGTTCCTATTTCTGCATAATTACCCAAACTTTTTTTATTAATAACTTTTTAATAAACAGTGACCGCCAGCTAAAACTTTCACAGCATTACTCAGAGTGATAATATACGTAACATACAATTAAAATTTTTGAGATCGGGAGGTGGTCCCCACAGGTAAACATTTACCAAAGATTTTTTTAAGTTGCCAAGAAGTAATTTGTAATTACATAAGTTGTAATTACGTCTATAATATTCTTTTTAGCAGACTGTCTGAATATACGTTTGGACATATATATTTTTATGTTATGTCTATTTCTACTTCTGACATATTATTCTTTTCAACCTTTGTAAAAATATTTTGTTAGGATTTCATTGTTCTTTGTACAGACTTGTTATGGAATTGGAATACTGATGTTATGTAATTTTAACATATCAATAAAAATATGTAACGTCTCTTACCTATTATTGCACATAAAGTTTATATTCTGTTTATCAATACTGATGTATACGATAATAATGTATGTGTAATCGTGTATATCAGTTGGACTCCAACAAAATTAACATACACTTTCATATACATATTACTGGTTTCCCCACCATTTCGCCGCGTTCGGCGGCATCCAACTCCGTATTTCATAATTCTCCTGATAATGTAGTCGCGATTCATAGTGCGAAGTAAATACATCACCGGAGGAGCAGAGGAACCGTCAGCAGTTGTATGGTACTAAACATACGAAGATCGGAAGATCGATTCTGTATTGAGAGAAAGTGAAAATCACGAAGGTGAGCTCTCACTCAACTTTCACTACGATAAAACTACGATGTTTCTCACGCGAAATATTTTGTGAGGTTCCCGTGTCTAATAATTCATGATAGTGATCTGATTATAAAGTAAATAATCCCGTTTACACTTTAATCGAATCAATCCAATAGCGGTTAAATTAACATTACATATAACGAAATGTTTTTAATGTATCTGTGATATTGTATACTTTCTCCTCCTTCCAACGCTTATCTCTTCTGGATAATCTTTCGTATTTTTAAGTATTTACATTTGCCATTTAGCTATTTATAGTAGCCATTTAGCCATTTATTTACAGCAGGATCCCCGCTCTCACCTGGGTTATTTTCAGTTTCTTACCCAGATTTTATTATTTTATTTATTATTTCGTTATTTTATTATTTTATAGATTTTAAACAAAAATTTTATATATTTTTATTATTTAACATTTCTTCATGATAGATGACCAATTTTATTTGAATCAAATAAAATAATAATTTTAGTCGGCATATTAGATCTACCATTTTGAATTTAAAAAATGTTGTCTATATTTGTAAACGGTTATCTCAAAAATCTTTAGACAAAATTTTAATGACATTGTTTAACTTTTGTGAATACCCATCTTTTCCAACTCAAGCAAGCTAAGTTTCGCAATTTTGCTAGACAAGAAGTTAATTGTTGGCCGATTGTCTTAAAATTGATGTCTATTCTAACACTTAGATCATTGAACACAGGCGAGAAAATTTTCATCTTTCTCTCTTCTCAATAATTCTCCTTAGACCTCTATAAATCGTTCCTCTTCATATACTAAATTCCATTTCTTTCAATTAATTTTAGCATTCTTATTTTATCATTTTGTGTCGCGACTATTTTATCATATTCTATATCGTAATTACTTTATTGTTACGTCCTGCGAACTTCGCGCATTCTAGACCTCTTTTATAAGCAAGGAAAATTGAATTTATTATTATTATTATTTATTATATGTTATCACACGACGCGATGACTCTAGAATTTTTGAAAATTCCAATGCTCCGGACATATTAACAATCTCCAAACCAACTCCGATCTTGGTTCCCACGCGCTTAGTCTACACTAACAATATTGCGACATCCTACTTAAAAAATATCGATATCTTCCTCTTAAGATAGCTGCTGCCACATTTTGTAAACTATCTAAATCCTTTTATTGTCACATGCTCCATATCTCTTAAAAAAAAAAGTTTATCTTACGCTCCTGACTCGACCTCTAAAAAACATTCGTAGCACAGTCCTATGACTATATTTGGGCATAAAAATTAGACCCCACTCCCTCAACCGAGCTGACTTTTTGAGAAAAGTCAAAAGTCTTAGACACTTCTCGACCGACCTGCAGCCAGGACAGAAGCTTCTCTCCAGCACCCCTTTAGGGTCTCTTAACAATCTAGCCTACTAGTGGCTTAGTCAGATCAGTATTTTTCAATTGTTAATTATTCGGTGCAACGATCTTGTGCATTCTTGGGCCATTGCGAGCGATCCTGCCGAGACCAGCTTCCTATTCTTAGCGCAGAACTTGAGTCATCCATCCTCCAGCAATTACACTTTTCATTGTCGACTAAGATCAGAGAACCAGCAGTAAGTTATTTATATTTTCTTTTACCTGAATGCCCTCTTTCTTTTTATTTTTCATCTTTTCTTCTCTCTCTTTTCTTTTCCTTTCCTTTTCCTTTCTTTTCTCTATCCCCCTTGGCATTCCTCCTTAATTGTAAAATCCGGTGTCAGCGGCCTAATCTTTTCGATCACCGTCGGACATAACGAACATGGAATTTTGCTCAGACCGCGATTGTTAACCACACATACGTACACATTATAAAAGCTTATAAATTTTATTTCATTGTGAACTTCCGTCTAATCATTAATAAAACAAGTTGTTTGTAATTGTAAGCCAATCACGTTTTCCAAATAATTATTCTCAACAAAAAATTCTCCCTTCCCTCAACTATCGCTCACGGTCCTATCCCAGGTAAAAGGATTCAGTTCCTTGATCTAAATAAAGGACCACCGACGTACGTCCACGCCAGATAAAGGGGTCATTCCGATCCTTGATCTGCACCGCAGACTTGCGAGTACGTCCGAGCTTGTGAAAGCAAGCGTCAAGTTGTGTTCCTCCTCCAGGACGTAACATTATTTTTCTGATTTAAACGTAACATTTAGGTAACAACCTCATTTAATTTTCGGCCACAAGAATACATCTCCATAATTCTCTGACTAGTTCTACCTGTTTATCTACGAGAGAAGACCAAACTTTTTGAATATATTTTATTCGATCAGATATGACATTTACTATAATGAGAAGGCGATATTCCTTAAGTTGCTTGACAAGAAACTCACGAAGATACCCGCATTGTTCGAACGTTGAAATTTTTGTTTAAACTAAAATAATTATGTGTAATCGAAACTGTAAACAATGGATTATATTGTAACACTTATTAAAGAAAATGATGGCAATGGTAACAGGAAAGAATAAAAAAAACTGTAAACTCTTTTTGTTTGTCGGTCATGTTTGTACATAAGGCTTTTGTTGAAGCCTTATGTACAAAGGCTTTTGTTGAAGATTCACCGAGAATCAGCAAATTGTCGCGTGATATTTACGCGGTCATTGGGTCCACGCATTATTAATTATCACGGTCATTGGGTCATCGCGTGTTTCAAACTTGCGAGATAAGTCTCCGACATTCTCGTGCCTCGTGCGCTGTGCGTATTTTCGATTTTTAATCGACGCGCATTTCGCAATTTGCGCTCGGCTTCTCGACATCTTAAAACTTCTATCTTGAATAACCAGTGTCACGAAGCCAAGCCAATCATCGAGCGCCAGCGACACAAGTTGAGTTTTCTTCTTTTCCCTGTAATCCTATCTATCTATTTTGTTTACTTTAGTTGATGGACCGAGCTTTCTTATAGTTCCGATTTCATTTATGCTAATTACATTAATAATTAATTAATTAATTAATTAATTTGAATGTGTTTTTTCACGCACATAAGCATATAATTAGCTGAATGTGCACTGTCTTTACACATTTCTCGTTATCATGAATGATATTGAATTTAATACGTTTAAGCGTGTTAAGTAATATCTTAACGAATTGAATGATGTACGTTAAGACTGAAAAGAACAACATTTTTTCAGTTGCAAGTTTTTATTCAATAAGGAACATGTAAAGAAAGCTTTTGCTAATTTCAGGCTTATGCGTTTTAAAACAGCACATTCGAATCTGCAATATGCTGACGAGATTATAAATGTTATTAATACGTTGTATCGGTTTTCTCTAATATAAAATATTGTTTATACGTTTTCATTGCAAATTAGAGAATATTAGCGCACATAGCAACGCGTGTAACCGAAGCGTTTTTTATACGTCCCTTGTTATCTCAAATTACGTTATTTGTTGATTTGTTTAAATACCATTTAACATGTTTAAAGGTCAAACACTTTTTGTCACGACGTGATTCAAGATATGTGATAGAAACGAGCAAAGGAACCTTCAACCAAATACATGTTTATGTATGTCGCAATAACATCCTTATACATTCGCAGTGTTCTTGATACTTAGCACACCGTTGTTTACATATATCGCGTGCGTGTGCGTTGATATTAGAATTATTTAATAGAAGAAATTAAAATTTGATAAATGTTGATAAAAATTTGATAAAATATTTTAAAATATGGTAAATTTTTACCTATGGGGACCACTTTCCGATCTCAAAAATTTTAGTTGTATGTTATGTAGATCATCACTCTAAGTAATGCTGTGAAGGTTTTATTTGGCGGTCACTGTTTATTATAAAGTTATTAACAAAAAAAGTTTGGGTAATTATGCAGAAATAGGAACCACTCCCCGATGTCAATGATTTTCACATGTTATCAAGGTCATCACTCTGAGTAATGTTCTGAAAGTTTTAGAAAGTTTAGACCGCGCTCATTGTTTATAACAAAGTTATTAACAAAATAAGTATACTAAATAATATGTAATTTTTTGCCACTCTATACGTATATTAAGCTTGTTACAATGTTTACTGAGTGAAGATTCATTTCTATGTTTCAGTTTATCTTATTATACGTTTGCAACTTTTCACGCGAAACTTACACAACAAAAATAACCACTGATACCAGGTATGTAAATATGAAACCGGAATTTTTGTATAGAAAATACACGTTTATTGTATGAAAATGATAAAAAATATTTTATTCCAAGTATTGCCCATCGCTAGCTACACATTTTTCCCACCTATCTGACAATTTGTGGATGCCACGACAAAAAAACTGTTGCTCTTTTGAGGCAAACCAGTCATCGAGCCATTTTCGTACATTTTCGTAAGAAGTGAAGCGCTGCTCAGCAAGTGCGTGTCTCATCGATGCAAATAAGTAGTAATCGGACGGAGCCAAGTCTGGTGAGTAAGCCGCATGCGAAAGTATTTCCCAACTAAACGCCTCAATCGTTTCCTTGACCAGTTTTGCTGTGTGTGATGGTGCATTATCATGAAGCAAAATCACTTTGTGTTACTTTTTTTGATATTATGGTCGTTTTTCACGCAAAGCTTGAAACAAAGATTCAAACCGATCATTTGTTGTCGGTAGCGTTCAGTATTATAACGGTTTCGCCAGGTTTTAGCAGCTCATAATAGATCACACCCTTCTGATCCCACCAAACACAGAGCATTGTCTTCCGTCCATAACGATTTGGCCTTGCAGTCGATGTCGATGGTTCGCCTGGAGTTACCCATGATCTTTTACGCTTAGGATTCTCAAAATATATCCACTTTTCATCGCCAGTCACAATTTGATGGAGAAATGACTTTCTTTTGTACCTGGCGAGCAGCATTTCGCGAGAAGTTTTTCGGTTTTCCTTCATTCAGTTCATGTGGAACCCATTTTCCCATCTTCTGGATCTTTCCCATGGCTTTCAAACATATGGAGACGGCTTCTCGTATCACATTTAATTGATCCACGAGTTGTTGTTGCGTTTGAGCGTCATCCTCATCCAACAATGCTTGCAATTCGCTGTCTTCAGTTTCTTTTTTCGATGGTCTTCCACGTTCGTCGTTTCTCACGTCAAAATCGCCACGTTTGAAATTTTTAAACCACTCAAAGCACTGTGATTTACCAAGAACATGCTCACCGTAAGCTTCGACAAGCATTCGATGCGATTCTGCAGCAGTTTTCTTCAAATGGTAACAGAAAATCAATGCTGTCCACAAATCGTAGCTTCCTGGCACAAAATTCGATATGTTCAACGCTATTACAAATTATGCTGTTGTATGAAACTTGTATTGTTTTGAGTTGAAAATCTTTGTCAGGTGTCAACAAATGGAAATGGCGCCAATGACGCGGTTTGACGGTAACTACATTGACAGCTAGGGTCATCTATGGGCAAATTCCGGTTTCATATTTACAGACCTGGTACATGAGCTACAAATTCATAAGTTTAATAAATGAAAATGTCTCAAACATATATATACACACTACTAAAACATATACACACACACACACACACACACACGAGGGGTGCAAGGGGGGCTTTCGGCTCCCCTCCCTGTCCGTTCTAGTTTCGTGTGAAAAGTTGTAAACCCATTTCCTTCAGTATGTAAACATGTGTTTTTCTTTCGATGTATAACCAGTATAAGAAAGGTAAATAAACAAACCAAGCGAAGAAGATAATACGTAAATAAGTCTCTATACACAGTGTTGTACAATTATTTTCACAGAAGACACGTAGTACTTCAATACGTGGGCATTATTCATTATTTTGTTAATAACTTTGTTATAAACAATGAGCGCGGGCTAAAACTTTCAGAACATTAGTCACGGTGATGACCTTGATAACATATGTGAAAATCATTGATATCGGGAGGATTCCCGATGTCCCTATTTCTGCATAATTATCCAAACTTTTTTTGTTAATAACTTTTTAATAAACAGTGACCGCCAACTAAAACCTTCACAGGATTACTGAGAGTGATGATCTACATAACATACAACTAATATTTTAGGTAAACATTTACCTAAAATATTTCCATATATATATCAAACGATCGATGTAAACTAGCTCATTCTCATTTAGCATGTACTTTAAATCTAAATGCGTTATTTTTACATTTTTTAAAACGTCTAAAAGTAACACATTTGACTGAAGCTCTTCTTACACGTTTCTTATGATGTAATTATATACGTTATTATTAATTATATATTTATATTATATTATATATTAAATATATATATAATTATATATACGTACGCTACATATTAATCAATCGATGTCATGCAGCATAGTCTTATATAAAAATGTCCATTTTTAGGAAAACATGAAGATGAAGATTAAAATCTCTCCAAATATCAAAGAAGTTCTTTCCGACATACTAAATTTCTTGTTTCTACTTTTGAAAATTCTCTATTATATCTGCGAAGGAGTGTACAGATTATTTGTCCCAAAAAAGAAAAAATGCGTGACTGGTGAAATCGTCTTGGTAAGTACCATATATCGTTTACTTATTATGCGTTTTTTCTTCGTTGTTTAATCGTTAGATTGTAAATTATAGATGCAAATCATAGATGGAAAAATATATATAAACTGTCTTTCATTATATCCAATAATACACACAGGTAACTGGTGCAGGTCAAGGAATTGGCAGGGAATTAGCAATTGGTTATGCATCTTTAGGAGCGACAGTAGTATGTTGGGACATTAATAAAGAAACCAACGAGCGAACAATGAACGAGATTAAAAGAATGGGCAATAGTTCGGTATATGCTTATCGGTATGCGAAATAATTGAAACATTTTCTCTGTATATACATATCGGCACCGTCCTACTGATATATCTCAAAACAAATTCACATTTGTATTCGACTTTACAGCTGCGACATATCAGACAGAAATGAAATCTTCGAGACAGCCGAAAAAATGAGAAAGGAAATCGGCGATGTTACTATTTTAGTCAACAATGCTGCCATTGCACCACTTGCAACATTCGAAGATTATAGTGCCGATGAGATTTCTTCGGTTATGAATGTCAATCTTATAGCGCACTATTGGGCAAGTGTTATATATTTAAAGAAGAAGAGAGAAAATTTATAAGATATATGATAAAACAAAAGTAATTCATGTTACTTCCGATAATAGGCGCGGTGTAGTGATCGCAATTATTATGTTAATTAAAAGCAACAGACCAATCGTGTGCAACGAACGAAATATTTATAATAAATCATTTTTATTTGCAGATGATGAAAGTATTCTTGCCAAGTATGGTCGAAAAAAATCATGGTCATGTGGTAGCAATTTCATCAATATTAGCACTATGTGGCGGACAATTTGGAACGCTTTATTGCCCTACGAAAAGTGCAGTCCGAGGTAATAGGATTTATTCTATTCATGATTGATGCAATTAACGATCGTAATTGTCAGTACGCTAGTGATATAGGGACAAGTTGAAGCATTTGCTTTAATTGGATTATAGTTATTGCATGTGTTATATGGAGAATCTAAACAAAACAGTTGTAATATTTTGAATCTTGTTCCTGACGCTTTGGACACATAATTTTATATTTAATATATATTCCGTTCGAGTGTCCAACTTGAATATTTGAACTTTCGTACGTTTGTTGTCTACAAACGTATAAAAAACAGTGCAAGATTTTTCCTTTTTGTTCAATGAGCTCAATCTCTACGCGAACGTTTATTTAGCGTATGTTGTAAGAAACAGTCGTCGTATTGCAGCACTTATGGAATGTATTCGCGAAGAACTGCGGGTGAATACTAAAGGAAAGTCTTCCGTTAAATTTACTACCATTCTCCCGGGTCTAGTTACTACCGATATGACCAGAAACTTGAGACTAAGGTGAGCTCATTATAATATTACCGTAACGAATTTGTAATGGTGGGCCAGAAACAGCTTTAAAAAGTAATTTATCCACTTTACACACTATTTCCTTTCGTGAAACTGATATTTTGTAGATTGAATATTTTCTACGAGTGAGTATTTACGTTACAGGTCACATGTACATTGTCGTAAAACATTTAAAATAATATTTCAATATTCATTTTTCTAATAGCTGTTTGTGACAAATAACTTAATTAAACTTACTTTCCGTTATCATTAATCGAGACCTAAATGAGATAAATCAAAATAGTTATCTAAAATTGTATTTGGGTTATCATCTCTTTAGCTTGTATCTGTCTTTTCTAAATCATTCTCTAGGTACATGTAATACCATTTTCCCCGATAATAGGTTTCCACGTCTCGTTGGACTTTACTCACCGCGAGAAGCGGCCTCATTAATAATTGATGCACAAAGGAGAGATATCATAGAAAAGCTTTTCCCTTCATACTGTCGACCAATACTTATAATTATAAGGTAAGGACACATGTGCAGATGCAATCGTAATATTATACAATATGTTCCAAAGTATAAATTTTAATATAAACGTATAACTATATGTTTAATATAATGTGTTTAATATAAACGTATAGCTATATGATTGTTTCAATATTCATATTGTGTAATTTTGCTTTTATTTTAGACTTCTTCCGGACAAGGTACAAATGTGCATCGCGGACTGGCTTGAGATTAATGTCATAGACAATTGAATAACGCTTTTTATATTAATGAGTTTTCTTTCTGAAAACATTCAAGTGTTCTAGCAATATATTATATATAAAGCATATCTATCGTTTCCGCCAACCGAAAAAGCAATTGTAATTAACGTCGGTTATAATATAATATGATTCATAGTCAAGTTAAATTATTCGAATCAGATTTCGAGAATTAAGATACACGCGATTACTTTTTTATAAGTATGCAAATTTAAAGAATGACATACCTTTTTGAAGAGATCGTGTCTCTCGCTGCAAATGTCGCCGAAACTATGCAAAAAAGACACAAACAATGTTTTAAATAAAAATAGAACAAAATCATATTTCCTTGCGTCCACTCGCGTTAATAATACTGACGAGGTAATA